TCACTGTCCAGATACAGGGGGCTGGACCGTCACTGTCCAGATACAGGGCGCTGGACCGTCACTGTCCAGATACGAACCTTTATGCTTGCCAAGCACGCGCTCGACGGCGCCCGAGCAGCCGGTGCATGTCATCTCCACAGTAAACTCGTGAGTTTCTGACGTCATCGCTGGTTAGCTTGGATCAGCTTCACTGAAGGAAGACTTCTCTGAAAGCACGGTTAGCTTCCTAAACGGACATAATAGGATAATAAAACCGCAGATGTGCACTGCCGCGTGATGTTAATCATGACAAACTGTATTATTCGACAGGAGCAGTCTTTTAAATTATTTGGCACACAACAGACTTCTCTTGGTTACAAGTAGAACATTCTGATTCTCAACAAAATTAATTCGCCCAACGTACCACACACACCAGACACTCTACCAATATCTTAGTTTTGCCTTCCACACGAAAGCTATGGAAGACGCATACACAATGAAAGTACAGCCAGTTCGTATTCATCGTCAAGGTGGGGCGAAATTAAGACGAAAATTTGCAGGCTTTTTGCCGCGTGAAGAGAATACAAGAAAAATAACGAGTCAATTATATGGAGGGCAATATATTTTCACCCATCTAAATCACGTAAGAATGTCCACGAAAAAAAATGAAAGCAAAACTTCGCAAAGAACACACCAGACGTGGGTCTTTGTACGCGCTACCTGAAACCCCTCACTACCTCGCATCCGCAAATGTTCATACCCACACACTTCGCATATGCATTTTAGAACTGTATTTTTCCGTGCCGCATTTACAAGTACACGCGTTTCTTCGCAACACATGGCCTCGCATATGCCGTTGCTCGTATATTTGTTCTTATTTTATCTACCCGTCAGAACTTATTCGCATTTTTTGCGAGCGTACTCTTTCATATGAGACATCCAATACGCAAAGGAGACATATCGCACAATTTTTCCCGTTATTCCCTTGCTGTTCCCCGTCATCTACCGTTATTCCTTACAGGGAATGTTTCACATTTCAACATATTGAAGCAAACATCAGATATGATGAAACAAGCTCACTTACAACTAATGGTATGCCAAGTGGAAAAGACTGCTTTAGACCACACAATTCTCTTTGCAGTAAATATGCTCATCAATGCGTCGTGGTTCGATTTATATTTTCTCGGCGTTAATCGCCGCATGGCTCATGGATTGACAGGATCTGAGTGACGTTATTATGACACCATGGGTGTCCAGGTGACTTCGAAATACTCTCCCCGATACACCTCTCCCCATTTTCGCGGACGTGTAGCTCAGAAACTAAAAGGGCTCAGGACTTGAAAAGGGCAGGGTTGCAAATAGCACCGAAAGGTCTTCAAGATGGGTATTTCAGTTAAAAAACCTATATGAATGTGGAACACTCCCTTCAATCCCGACGCCCTTCCCCACTTCTCCCGAAGTGAGAGTGGCCGATCACTCAATAACACCATCGAGCATGACACGACTTGGACTCCATACACAGCTCTGTGAGGCTGATGTCTGACACGCCCCTCTGCTCACACATCCCTATCCCTGACGCCTAAGGGCAATAGTCCTGGGACAGTCGGTCCATGAGTCACAACACCCTAGTGTACGAATCCTAGAAATCGCCAGCACTATCGCCCGGCTTACGCGTCAAGATTTATTTTGAGAAAACAACTCAAATCCCATTAGATGGTCCTGGAAGGATTTTTTCAGGTACATCCGGGGCACGACAGACGCCCCAAGACTAGCCCCCCCCCCCCCCTCCTTAGCATCTTAAATACAGGTGATTGTTTTTGATGTCATGGTTTTGCATGTCTCAAGCCTCCTCCATTCAAAGAATTACTGGCTTTTCATCCTGTCCTACACATTGAAAAATATGCGCGGGTTCGCACAAAGAATCTGTTCCTCTTTGCACCACGCTCTGATGAGTGTTTTCAGAGTTTGAGGAAGAGCATAAGCCCCATACGCTCCTCCATCAAATCTTACCCTGGTTCGTGGACTTATGCAAATGTATAGAAATTAATTTGATCCAAACATTTTCACTAGATGTACATCTGGGATCAGATGGGTGCTTCACTTTTCAGGCTGACATTGAGGATGCTGCAATGCTGGGCATGGCCCACCCTGCCCTCTGACCACAGCTGAGGATGAATGGTTAAAAAACCTAGATCAAAGGTCAGGATGTGACCCTAGGTGATGGAACCAGGGCAGACCACATTCTTCATGGGCAAAAAGGACCTTCAGTGTTTTAAACTGATCCAGGTCATTACAGATTGCCACATAAGGATATTCAGATTATTTCAGGGTTACATAAGGTCAAAAGTCAGGTTGTGACCTCAGGTTATAAACCCAGGGAAGAGAGTGATGAACATGAAGTACACAAACATGATACACATTTGGGACATACCAAAATAACTTTGGAAAGCAGTCACCCAATGTGTTTTAAATGTAGTGGAAAGCCTGAAAAGAGCATCAAGTTCACAAAGGTCACCCTTCAGCCATCATAAATAAACATACATGGTGGGAATTACTCTGGGCTATCCAAACATATGTTTCAGTAAGTTGAGGAAGCCTTATGTGCCTGCGCACAATTTTTTCTTTCATTGTCCTCTTTCAGTCTCTAACATTTTCCACTAGTTTTACATTCCATGTTTACCTCTAAAGGGCTAAGCAGAAAACTATGATAATTATGATACTTCCAACATTCACATTTTCCATTGGCCTGAAAGTTAAAATGGTAAGAATAGACCTTAAAATGCCAGAAGTTCTTAAAGCTGACAGATGGGACTGTGTGGTGGAAACTTATTTCAGTAAGTGCACTAAACTGAAAGTTAGAGGGGCTAAGCCGACCAGGAATACAAATACAGTAATAAATATAAGGAATTGACGTGCTACAGGTGGTGGTAACCATGCACACTGCTACACAAATTATGATGTATAAATGAATATGAGTACAAAAAAGTACCTGACCGTCATCTGTTGGTAGATAGGTTAATAGACTGATGGCTTATGAGCCAGGTTGCTGTGTGTTTTGTCGGAGGCATGCATGTTCCCACACATATGATAACTAACAGGTGATCACTTGAAAGCTAGAGAAAATTGAGCATGGCATATAGTCTTGCTGAAATGAGTTTGAGAAACAATAAGGACATCACATTGAGGCTTCAATACAGTATTATCTTGAGTTTGTAGTAAAAAGAGAATAAAATGTCATCACAGTCAGCTTGGCACACATGCATGCATGCATGCATGCACACACACATGCATGCATGCACACGCACACACACATGCACACACACACACACACATGCACACACACACACACACATGCACACACACACACACATGCATGCATGTGCACTGGCCAGTGCACATAATCCTCTGGAAACTTCTCCTAAAAGATGCCCAATAGATTAGCCTTGATGCACTTTTCTGGGTAGAAATAGCTCTTTATTATCTTTAAAAGGCTTGACCAGAATCCTTTGAACAGATGAATTTCTGAGATCAGAGCTCACACCAAGTGTAACTTGTTGTATCAGCTCTGAAAGCTACTATCTGATTTTGCAATTCCAGGCAAATTCAGAATTAAGTGGCAAAAATGTAATGTGCTGCAATGCTCAGCATGGTCCATCCTGCCCTCTGACGTCAACTGATCTCAAGCACTGCTGTCACCAGCCAAAGGCCATACCTGTCAATGCCAAATAGCAAGTGCCTAAAGTGACTCAAACCCACCCCACCAGGGTTGGATGCATCGAGAGGCAGGCATCCTAACCAACTGAGCCATTGGGATGGACTATGGACCTTGACATCTGCTTTAGTAGCTCATCCACTGATAGATGACATCCACAGCAAATTATGTCACAAGATGTAATCCAAACCATTTGGATAGATGAGCTTATGGGATCACAGTGCAGGATAAGTACTTCTTGATATGTGAGCCCTGACAGGTATCATCTTACTATGGTGCAATTCCAGATCAGCAGCAGAATCTGGTGAGGGTAAGTTTTACCTGCCAGTGCTCTGCACTGTTTGCTCTGGTGTCCCCTGACTTTTTGTGACCAATATGACTGGTGATAGCTGACAGACCCTGACCTTTATTGTTAACTATAAGGTCACAGGTCACACCTGTCAAGAGCAAAAAGAGAGCACCCAAAGCAACTCACACCTGCTGGGTCAGTGAAATAAAGACAGACACTGTATCAACTGAGCTATCTGTACAGACTATAGGAACAACTAACACATAAGGGATGCAAAGGAAGGACATCAATGAAAGGGCAGCTAAGTTGGATCCAGAAATATCAAATGATGAAGTAAGAAGTAATGGAACCTTAAATACATACCAAAAACATATAAGGACAATAAAGGAAGGCAGTGTGTATGACAACAGACAACTATCAGAAGCTTTATACAAAGAACCCTTCTCCTCAACCTTCAAAGAGTGGTATGAGGGGTAGAGGTACAACAAACACTACTCAAAGCCAAAGGACATATTGCAAGTTATGTGGAATACAACTTCAGACCCGAATAGTCTAAAATGTCTGACAATTACTGACGCGCGACATGTCGAATACAGACGAGGGACGCGGAAGTACCGATGCAAATGCGGTACCTCAACAGTTCACTATCGTCATCATCAACCAACAGGTTTGCCAACCCTCATCGTGTTTATTTGCCCAGCTCGCTTACAAGCGCTATACTTCACCGATATGAGCCGGAATCATCGTAAATTGCGTTCTCCTTTTTTTGGTGGGCCGATGCAAGGCCTGTTTACCTCAGATTCAGGTATGTATCTAATGCGTATGTTTAGCGTTACAATGTGTGAGTCCAAATCCAGAGACTCCTGAAGAATTCCTGAGAAAGTGAGAAAGATCTCCAAAACTTGTCAGTCTTGTTGGATAGTGCAGTTAAAATGACATGTTTGTGATGAAGTGTTCACCAAAGCCTTTCGAATTGTATTTACTTTTCACTCCATGCTAAGATTAACAGTTTTTAACTTATTTTATGGTTCTTAGATACCACGATATTTTAGCAAAACATTGCATTGCAACATTTATACATTAGTGCTGGTCCATGAACGCCGTTCTGCAGGTACGCGAAAAATTCTAGTGGGTCGGCCTGTGACGCGTGTTGGGTGTCAATGAAAGATATGGTGTCGTGGTGGCATTGGCGTACATAGACAGAAGATACATCATTGAGTACAAAGCTATGACTTGTGCTATGGCATAAAGGATCCAACAGTAGCAGTATCTACCCTGGTTCCTTAAGGGTCGTAAGTAGCCGTTCTCGTGTTGACTCGCAGATGCAATTGTTCTCGGGGAACTGCGCATTATTTGCCTTAGAACAAGTGGCAGTGTTGTGTCTTGGCAAAGACGTCCATTATTCCATTGGTCAGTTTTGTGACCCTCGTCATATCATAAATTCACTTGTGTTGTTAGATTCTGTCTGTGTGGAATCTGGAGAGAGGGAGGTTTTGCATAACCTATGATACAGTTCTCATCATTGTCATGCTTATAAGTCTGGCGATGAAGAGTTGTCCATCATCATGTGAAGGCAGTCTAACAGAGAGGTTGTGAATAGTGTTGTTCACCTGCTGTTATGTTCAAATAGGTTGTGATCACATTAATGTGCCCTATGTGGTTGTCCAGCTGCTGGGTAAAGTTACAGTTTCAAGTATGTTGTCCATGAGTACTTACTGTGTGAACATGTAGTAGGTATGTGGAGTGCCCAGGTGTTGCAAACTTTTTGGTGCCTTTTCTTATGTATATGCAAGCATAACTTGCTTAATTTGTACATATTATCATAGGAACCAATGATGCAGGAATGATAAAGAAACTGGATTGCCTGGAGCTCAAATATTAGGTTAAGTTAGGTACAATTCATGTTGTTTCAGTCATTGATCCCAGACCAGGGCTATTGCCAGAATGATCAAAGGATTTTTTTCCTCTACAACCATCAGCATAATGGCCTGGTGCTATTTGGTCTCTGAGGTTTACTATAGCTGGCTCAGGTCATGCCTATTTTGATTTGAAAAAAGCAATTCAGGTCACTTCACAAATTATTATCAGGTGTACTGATCTGACAAGCTCAGTGCATTCTGCTCACCACAGTTTGTTTTTACTGGATATGGTTTGTGTGTTTGCTTACTTTTTGCTTGTTGGATGAAGCTCTATGCAGATATAAACGTTGATGATGTCATCATATCTTGCACAACATTGATTAAGAGCCAACTGATTGCAGCTATACATGGAAATCGTGCTCACCAGCTGTAGATGCTAATCACTTGACAATTATATTTTTATGGAGCTTCACAGAATGGCCAGTGGAATGACAGAAATGGAAACATAGTGCCATGAATACCTGGGTGACCTTGAAAAGTCAGCATGAAATAGTCTGAATATCTTCATGGACTTTGTTCAGTTAGGTCTAGAAGGGCAGGGCTGTGAACTGCAATAACTGATCTTCAAGATGACTTTTCAGTTCAAACCCATATATAAGTTTGGAAACAGCCCCTTTTAGTGCACATGTTCCACCCCTTTGTGACTGGCATTCAGCCAGTGGCCAAAATTTGCTTAACTGATGTTTTAAATGGGGCCTACATTCAATTTTAAATAGACACTGTCATTTTGATGGGAGGGGATGTTTTTTAAGGTGATAATTGCTGCCTCCATTCCCACATCTCTTAGCAGCCTGTGGTGGATGTCACATTCCTTGTCTATGGTCTTTATGTTGAATGTATTGAATTCATTGAATTGAAAAGAATTGAATGTGTTGTTGAATGTGATTGTGAGGTTGAATGTATGCTGTCTAGCTGGCAGAGCATGGTTCAGCTAAGTGGCTTGATCATTTCATGCACCTAGGCTTGGACATGCTTTGTATGCATGTGAGCAGGTGCAGATTTTGTAGGGTATATTGGTTTACATCTGTGTGTGGAAAGTAGACACTAGCAAAAGTGTACCCACCATTTCAGCAGTGTTAAAGCTGTCTGGGTATGGCTCAATGTTTTTGATATCACAAGGCATGGTGGCCATGCTCAAAGTTGAATGGAATATAGAATGTTGTGGGTATACCTTATTCAGGTCAAGAGTGAATGGTGTATGAGAGGCATGCATTGGCAGTTACTGAAGTTGGCTAGATCAAGGACCATCTACAGGAATTTCTGAGGTAGTATTTCCTTGCATTAGAAGCACACATGTAGCTATCTTCCAGTGGGAAGTGCAGTAGTAAATTTGACTTTCAGCCAGTTGACAGAAAATGTTTGTTGTGTTGTATTGTTGATTTGTCATGTTGATTCAAACAAGGAAGATGCATTAGGATTAGGATAGTCATGGCTGATAACACTCAGCAGTCTAGATGTTTCATTTTCTGTCAAAGTCTTGTGATGTGTGGATGTTTGTAATTGATGTTGGCAGTCTGTGTGTGTTGCCTATGTTTGTTTATTGGTAAATCAGTGTTTGTGCAAGCTTGGATCTACTGACATCATGTTTACTGCTGATTACAACAAACTGCACTCCTTACAGCTTATAGGTGTGTGGCCAAGCTTTGGGGGTGTCCTGACATGTCCATGGGTAGGAAGGGCCACCTGGTTTGCATTTTGGGGGCTGCAGGCCGTGTTGGGTTTTTTGGTTGACATCTAGATTGGTGACTTATAACTTACAACCACTTTATTTCACAGAAGGACAATTGCAGTTCAAAGACTAGTGAAAGTTTTCTCACTGCATTTTATACATTTCATCTCCAGGCCAACCACAATTATTTCAAGCAGTAGCAGTTTTCAAAATAGTCTTAACACATGCTCGGGTGGGGGTCAAATTGGTCCCCCCCTGAAGGTTTTTCCAGAATGGTTTCTGAATGGCGTGGCGCAGCCGTGCCAAATTTTGCATAGCTGTAGACAATAACATAGTGGATTGTTAAGTGACAAAATTGGATATACCCTGTAAGGTCGCTGACCTATGGCAGGTCAAAATCGGGCCATGGTTTCACCGAAGTAAATTTCTAGGGAATTGTTCAATTGAATGCAACAACAGAGTGTTAGACAAAGCCATACATGTTTGCAATGCTTTCTTAGACAATGCAAAAATTAAATGAGTGAATTGCATGGACCTAAGGTCAGGTATGAAGGTCAGACCAAGGTGGATACCACCCTGTTTTATTTCTCCAGGGCTTGCTGTGTGGGATATTTTCCAGTGCTCATTTCAAATTTATTGATAGCAGGAACTGCACTACATCTTCCATGGGGTTCTTAGAGGGCAGAAAAGACCATTGACCTAAATGACTCAGGTCAGCATTTAGTTTTTAGGAGCATACTGTCTAGCACAAACTTTGTTGCTTATTCAAATGCAAAACTTAAAGCAGTCTGCTGTGATTTTGGCAATCATGACCTTCAAAAGGTCAAACAACCTCACTGACATAAAATGGGTGTGTGACATTTTGCTTATAAACAGTTATCTAGGTTCTGGGGGCATTTTGGCAACCAACCAGGAATTTGACATTTGACTTTATTTGACCCAAAGGTCATGACCTAGTGACCTCAAACTTTGCGTAAGTGGGTTCACACACACAGGTCAACATATCCTGTGAATTGGGTGTATCCAGCTCTGATAGTTCTCGAGATCTCAGGGGGCGGGGGGTTCAAATTGACCCCCACCCGAACGAAGGGTATCCAGCCGGCCACCCGGGTGCGTGTTAAGCAGCAGGTCAGTTCAGCAGAAGTTTAAATCTTCACAAAATTGGATGGGAGTAATTCTTGCTGGGATGGAGAGAATCCAGCAAGAGACCAGCTTTGCAGCACTGATAGCAAGTCCGTGAAATGGTTTCGTGGTCGCCCCTTGCCGCGGGGAAAGCCATGTCAAGCATGGCTTGAAGAATAAAGTGCAATAAAGACGCTTTGAAGCATTCTGTCGGCTGTGAGACAGGTTCGAGGGGGAAAATTAGGCCCATTTTAACTGACGAAGCGGTCGTCCATCACGCTGCCGCGTTTCCGTGCGCAGCTCGGCGTCATTGGCTCGGATCGGACTGGAGTGCAGACACGTTAGTTTCGGAATTAAATGCAGTTTGTGCTCAGGATGCTGTTCTCCATGGCACGCAGGCGAACATAAAACTGAAAAGAAGAAAAAGATGCAATGGGCAGCTCTATTAATTGTATGTCAAGGGTCTTGACGCTTGACTCCTTGGCATAACGACCCTTTACTAATTTATCACATATATGCCAACCACGCCTGTCCTCGCACACTGCAGTCCACTGCATGGTATAGGGGCGAAGCTAATGGATTTCCATTGTGTATTTTTGCATTAGAGTTGCAACTTTAACATGACATAAACTGTCTTGCCCGCCCTGTCACCCCAATGTACCACAACTTGAGGCTATGACACATACGAGGCTGAGAGCCCCGTCCCCCCCCCCCCCCCCACCCGAAAAACAGCAAAACAGCCGGTCGTTAGGACCAGTTGCTACCTGACTACGACCGGACCACCGTTAATACGCTGTGTATACCTGATCATTAAACATACGCAATTACGGCTTTAGTCCAAAACGTTTCCACCTGTAATGGTAAAGCGTCGCAATCAGTCGGCAAATCCTCCACGTACATGGTGTGAGGTTCGAAGGCCGTCACGCACTAGATTTGCCCGTGGCTTCGGCGTCGGGATTTTCAATTCATGGCTCCGGCTTTTCGTTTGCGTTTTCTAGGTTTGAGGCCATTGGCGTCAGATTCAGCTTCGCACATAAAAAATGCTGAACCACTGGCTTTGGTAGTTCCAGGCAAACAGCCAGAATCCTATCTTCCTCCCCATCGACTTGGCTGCGTTGCCCGTCTTGTCCTGCTCGGCCGCGTCTCTCCGGCGACGAGGTCCGTGTACGCTGGCGGTCATGTGGGGCGCCCAGCCGGCCAGTACGTCGCCGTTGGCTGGCGCCCCGCGTCGTCACGGCTAGGTCGCACCGGCACGAGACGGGTCACGGAGACGGACGAGCTGGGCGCAGCAGGGCCGTCCGTGCCCCCACTGGGCCTGCGCCCCCCCCCTCCCCCCACCCCCCACCCTCCCCTATTCTGGGTGCGACCGGACCGCCCATACTCCCCCGGGCGCAGTCCCTGGTCGTCCGTCCCAGCTGGCCCGCTGCCCTGGCCGGCTCTCGTCCATTACCGGACCGTCGGTTTTGCTTGTCCTCGCTCCGTCCCCGAAAGCCTTGTCACAGTATCCTCGTCCATTTCGTCTCGTTGGCTGCTGTGCTCTCGTTCGTCTCGTCTTGCCTGTTTACTAGCTAATTCGGTTTTGTTGCTTTTTTCGGAAGTGGTCGACATCTTTGGCCAACACCATTACTATGCCTGCTCAAGCGTGGGCGCCACGCTGGAAATCTCGACGCCATTGATCGAAAGTGGTATTTGTGTCATTGGTGAGTTTGGACCCACCCTGCTGAGATTAGAACCTGCTTTTTCGATCAACTTTTGCCAGCCACTTACCTGCCATGCCTGTCAACTCATCGTAAGTCTTGAGAAGGGCTACCAAAGCATATATTGCAGGGACTCATTCTATAGTTGCATGGCTATTGGCAGTCGGATGCGCCCTAAAGCACCACACCAGGGGCTCATGTTAGAGCCGTCGCGAAGGCCGCCAAACGCTCACCATCGACAACACCCGCCTTTGCGCTGCGTTTGGAATGGTCGATCACCGGAGGGAGATAACGCATCGGCCGCTTTTGGCGAGCTGCTCTATCTGCCTCATCGTCCGTGTGTGCAGCGTCGGGCAGGCCACCCTCGCTGGTGAGACAGCGCGGCGCGGCACGTTATAGGGCTTCGTCGCTGGCCGGGCGCCGCCAGGTTTCGCCCGTGACCGCAGGGGAATGTGCGCTGCTGAGGCGCAGCTGTGCCGCCGACGGGTCGTCTGGCACGGGTCCGCGCGCTGGCTGCAGGAAGCCGGCACACTACAGTAATCAAGACGGGAGTGGGACGGCTGTTATGTGTTCCGTTGCTTCGAATGACTTATCTGCTCCGTGCAGTTATGTTGTGCGAAACATTACGGAATGAACAGGATCGCTGAAGGTCATGTCTTGTTCTTTGGACGGATTGCGTTTCGTCATTTTGGGTTTACGTGCATGGATGTGAGCTGGAACGCCTTGAGAGCGTATGGATAGGTCTACTGTAGACGACTTCCTCTCAGTTCCTTCTGAACGCTCCGCCAGACCGAAAGGTAGTCAGGTCTTCCAGTTACTTAAGAATGGGCCCAGCAGCCCAAAAGTCCGGACGGAACCTGCGCTTCCAGTACTGTTCACAAATGCCGCCGCCACACCAGCTCAGCGGTGGCCAGCTGGGACACGCTTATGAAAACACGCGCGGCGTACCGCCGTCGCTCCGCTCAGTGTGCGGCGGGCGCTCCGCCCGTGCCGTCCGCTCGCGTCGGTCGGTCGCCGGCTCCGGTCGTCTTCAGCCCGCCGCCGCCGTCCGGCCGCGGCACGGTCACTGACCGGCGCTGGGCCGCTGCGCTCCGCCGCCGGCCGAGCGCTTGCGTCTGCCGCCCTAGCGGCTGGCGGAGGTCCAGCGGCGGCACGCGCCGACGGCCTCCCTCGCCGCGCCCCGCCCCCCATCCGCGCCGATTGACTGGCCGGAAGGCGTGATTGGAGCGGGCGCGGGGCTCTCGCGCCCGGACGTCCTGGTGCGGCGGCGGCGGCGACGGTGTCGGGCCGGCGCCCGACTGCCGCCGTTCAGTGGCACCGCCCGTGTTGATCTTGGCCGTCCGGTGGGACGTCATGTGACCCGGACGGCCGGGCTGACCCAGAGATAGCTGACCCCTACCGCGGGTCGGGCCGCCGGGCGAGGCGGCCGACCTCGCTTCGGCGGAAGTGGGCCGGCTGATGAACTTGTCTCATACCAAGCCGGTCAGACCTGATCTGGCCTCTTGGGTCTAGCCGGGTCAGGCGGGCTGTCCTGACCTGGTCGGGCTGGGATAGCCCTCACAGGGAGAGATTCCGCCTTGGCCGTGGTCGTGCGCTCGGCGACTGAAGCGGCCCGTTCAGTCGGCGTAAAAGGAACGGATGGTGGTCGGGTCGTGGTCAGCTGGCGGCCCGTCAGCTGCGCTTGCGGCTTGTCGGCCGGCCGGCCGCCGCTGCCGCCGCCGCCGTCGTTTTACGCCGGCCGAGCACCTGTGTGCCGCCTCGGCCGCCGGCTATTGACCCAGCCACGCCCTCGCACCGCCGGCCGCCAGCCGCCGCCGGGCATCAGCTGGCCTCACGCAGAGCGCGGCTGTCGTGTCGGAGGGCCGTGACGCGTTGGACGCGGCCCCCGGCGCCCTCCCTCGCGGCGGTGGCGTGCGCCGACGCCGCCCGTCCCGGCGCGGCCGCGCGCCGCCTGATGGATGAGTGAACAGGTACCGTGAGCAGCGCGGGGTCATTTTCGCTGCATGACTGGCGGCTCCCCATCTCATCGCTTCGGCCCGCTGCCAGGTGACGCTCTGCGGCGAAGGTGGCTCTAAATCGTTTGGGTCCGGGCGGTTTGGGGCTGGTGGGAGTCGTGGCAGACGGTGCTGGCGTGCCGGCTAAACGTGGCCGGCCGGCGGCACACAAAGGCGCCGCTGTCGGCGCAGCCGCCGGGCAGTGCCGTGTCGGTGCTGGGGAAGCGTCCGCGTCCGCCCGTTCGCTGCGCCGGTGTGCTGTATCCGTGTGTGTGGTGTGTCCCGCGCGTGTCTCGTGTTTGCGTGCGTGTTCTCGGCGTCGGCCGGCTGACTGACTGACGCCGCCTGCGCGCCGGCAGACTGAGGCGGCGATGTTGCCGGGCCGGGGTTCGGCGCCCACGTAGATGGTGGTCATCAACCCGGGACGCGGCCCGGGCGTCTGGCCACGCCAGCCACTGTCCGACACGCTGATCGACACCACGGAGACCGGCAAGATGTCGGCCCGGGCCACCCTCATCTGCCGACCCAACTCGCACCCCTTCCAGGTCAGTGGGGTCGCTGCGGCCCGCCGCTGCAGCGCGAGGGCTGGCGGAGCGCGGCCGCGCCGTCACGGTGCCGCTTCGACACGCTCGCGAAAACCCCGCAGCTAGGACACACAAAAAGCATAACAGCCGGCTCGTTCCTTCTTCACCGGGTTACTGACGGCCAGGGTTGGTAGCGGTGAGAATGCATAAGAGGCAGTAACCCCGTGTACCGTCTGTATGTGTGTGATGTGGCCGGGGTGCCGGCTGTCCGGCCACCGAGGCTGGCCTGTTACGGGCCGCTGGTGGTGCCGGCTATCTGGCCACCGAGTCTGGCCTGTTACGGGCCGCTGGTGGTGCCGGCTGTCTGGCCACCGAGGCCGGCCCGTTACGGGCCGCTGGTGGTGCCGGCTATCTGGCCACCGAGGCTGGCCTGTTACGGGCCGCTGGTGGTGCCGGCTGCCTGGCCACCGAGGCTGGCCTGTTACGGGCCGCTGGTGGTGCCGGCTGTCTGACCACCGAGGCTGGCCTGTTACGGGCCTTTGGTGGTGCCGGCTGTCTGGCCACCGAGGCTGGCCTGTTACGGGCCGCTGGTGGTGCCGACTGTCTGACCACCGAGGCTGGCCTGTTACGGGCCGCTGGTGGTGCCGGCTGTCTGGCGCCGCCGTGTTGACCGGCCGCCGACAGACGCCGCCGACGGAGCGGCGGCGCCGACCTCGCGTGCCTGCCCCCCCCCCCCCCTGTTCTACCCCCCTCGCAGGGGCACGGCGGGGCCTCAGCCCCGGGCTGCTTGGCAGGCTGTTGTGTATGGCGTGCGGGGTCTGGCAGCGGTCTCTGCGTGTCAGACTGCTCGTGCTGTGTGGTGTGCGGCGCTGACGTGCGGCCGCCGCCGTGCTGGTGCCGGCGGCGCTGTGGACCACGCCGCCGCGCTGTGACGTGTTGCGCCGCCGTGTTGCGTTCGTCTCGCTGCGTGTCACGCTGCCGGGCTGCGCCGGGCGCCGCCGTGTGCCGCGCTGTGGCCCATACCGTTGTGTGCTATTGTGAGCCTGCAGGTTTCTTACTGCTGCGTTTCGTGCCGCCGTGTACCCGAACACTCCTCACGTTTCATCCCGCGGAGGCGCGTGCTGTCGTGGCTATGTCACGCGCGTGTATGTATCGTGTATGTTTTTCTCGTGATGCGTTTTCGATTGTCGGCTTGATGACATGTTATGCCGCTGTGGCACACCCATCACGGCTGCCTAAATGCACCCTCAGGCGTTCAACCGTCGCCGGTCTTCCATATTCATCATCATAAGACCATAACAGTGATCGGCGGACTCTGGCTGAGCACGTCGCCGCGCGGAAAACCTGCGACTGTGCTTTGCCTTGTGTTCTGCGTGGCCACGCATTAGAGCTGCGCTGTCTCCTTGTCGATGTGCGTGGCGGCGTCACGTCTCGGCGCGTCTGTGCGCCGTGCCACGTCGCCTGCGGCTGTGGGGCCGTGGGTCACAGTGTCGTGATACGTGGTGCGTCGCCGTGCTCCAGCGCGTCGCGTTGTCTCCGCAGCACGGCTCGGGCGGCGGCGCGGCCGCAGCACGCCGTATGCCTCACGCTGCTCCGTCTCCGGCAGGAGCGCAACCTCGCCCTGGACAACCCGGAGAAGATCGGAAGGTCGGTGGCCCGGGTCCGCGCCGCTCCCAACAACGCCATCTTCGACTGCAAGGTGCTGTCCCGCAACCACGCACTGCTCTGGTTCGAGAGTGGCAAGGTGAGTCAGCCGGCGCACGTGGAGTCGCTCGCGTGCAGCTCGCGCCTCCGCGCACGGAGGCGGATATGGTGGAGGTGGCTCCCATTGGGAGGGGTTTTTGGCTCCGGTATTTGAAATACTTAGTGGTATCCCGGCGGGTGCCCGTGGGTTAAGGTTTTTTATTTGAACCGGTTTCACTGCACATATATGTCATCTTAGCGTGGAATGTTCCTTTATTCGCTTCACAGTGTTTCCTTGCCAGCGCATTTTGTCCTTTGTTTGTTTCACATTGACACTTGTATTCATCCCAAGTGTGTTTGTTTCATGATGCAGCATTGTCGCACAGAATTTTCAGCGATTTAACTCCCTCATAGATTTCGACGTATCTTGCGCGACGGACCGTCATTGGCACCCCGCCCCCCCCCCCCCCCCCGCCCCCCGCCGCCGGTGACGGCCCCGGGAAGTCTGGCCGGTCGTGACGTAGCCGCCTCGCCCCGTTGCAGTTTTTTCTGCGAGACACCAAGAGCAGCAACGGCACGTTTGTCAACAGCCAGCGCCTGGGCAAAGGCGCGGACGACTCGGCGCCGCGCGAGCTGTGTTCTGGCGACATCGTCCAGTTTGGCGTCGACGTCATGGAGAACTCGAAAAAAGGTGCGACCGGCGCCGGGCCGGGCAGGCCCCGGTCCGCGGCGGACCTGGGAGTGGCGTGCGGCTGCGGAGGTGGCGGCCGGCGCCGGGCCGGGCAGGCCCCGGTCCGCAGCGGACCTGGGAGTGGCGTGCGTCCGGGGAGGTGGCGGCCGGCGCCGGGCCGGGCAGGCCCCGGTCCGCAGCGGACCTGGGAGTGGCGTGCGTCCGCGGAGGTGGCGGCCGGCGCCGGGCGAGCGTCAGGCGTGCGGTCGGCCGCCGTTGAGTGCAGCAGCAGCGAGTCGCGACGGTCGAGCCCCGCATGGACGGCTGTCTGCAGCTGTGAGCAGCGCCTCGGCGCGGCCCGCCACTCTGTCGACGGTCTGTACCGGCTGGCTTCGCTCAGACTTCGACCGGGTGATGTCCATTCTGTGAGCGGCGCGTCGGTCTTGCCGGTGACGCATTGCTCGCGTCCGGCGACAAGGGCCTGCCCCGTCGCCGGCCCCGCGCGCCGCTACCACGTCGAGGAAGACCCGCCCTGACTTTATCTTGCCGCCGACTGGTGACATGCGCTGTTGCCTGTTGCAGTGACACACGGCTGCATTGTGGCCACGCTGAAGCTGTTCTTTCCCGACGGCAAGGAGGCCAAAGCCAGGTGCGTACCGCTGTCGGTGTGCCCCGCGCGCCGGCCAGCCTGCCGGCGTGCGGGGCTGTGGAAGGGCCGGCCCGCTTCGTGACGGCTGCAGTCTCACTGTGAGCGTTTCAATAGTTGTGCTCAGGTAGCCCTCCAGTATTCCCGTGTCTGCTGCTTGGGGCCTGTTTTGTTAGTCGTTAGAAACTGGTCCGGTCCCCCACGCGTGCAGTGAGAGATGCTTTGTCTCTGCGTTTCAGAGGATCCACACCCGAGGTTATGATTAACGGGTAAATGCGGTTCGCTTGAGCCTCAGTCTGACCTGGTGTCGCCCCGCCTGACGCCGTGTGTGGTGTCTAAATGTCGCTTGGTCACCTAACCTGCTGGCTGCGGGCGCGCCGTCGCTTGGCCCGGTGGGCCTCGGCGCTCAGTTTCGCACTGCCCCAGGCACCATAGTTCGTCGCGGCGTGTCCCCACCTGTTGGCCGTCCCACCCATCCGTGGCTGTCGCTGCTGTAATATGGCCGCTGGATGGGTCAGAGCGGTGCAGACCACCTAAGCATCTGATCTGGTGCGAACACGCTGAAGACGAGGACTGAGTCAGTCCGGTGCAGGCTGACTCAGCTGTTTGTTAGCTCTGCGTGGGCAATGGCCTTAAGCTGGTGACGCTTATTTTGATTGCAAAGGTATCAGCTGGTTATTTGTTCAACATTGAAGGGGGTAACCACGCGGAGTTCGTAGGGCTGGCGATCCCTCTGCTTGTTGTGCCCGCACCATCCGTGTTGTGTGGATTTTCTGCAGCGCTTTGCATGGATGGCGTCCATTGAACTCCGGCGGAAAGCCTGTGAAGTCGTGTCAGCAGGGCCTGTAAAATGTGTACCCTAAGTGTTTGGTAGAGCGGGTTACGTAGATCAGCCAAGTAGACCAAAGCGCACGGTGTCTTATTCAAGTCGTGTACGGCGGTTGGCAAGGGCACCGGTCGTCGTTGCAGGTCGGTGGTGTTTACGGGCCACGGGGCGGGAGTGGTTCAGTGGGGTAGCTCGGCTTCACACTCCAGCCGGGTGGGGAGCGGGACTGTGTGCGCGTGTGTGTGGGCGCCCGTGTGTTTGCTGACTGACGGCGGGGCCGTGCGATGCCGACAGCGCCGATCACGCCACCCCGCTCCACTCGCCCGAGCTGTACCAGCTGCAGCAGTGTGTCCAGGTCAGTGCCGGCGCCCAGCAGCGCGCGCGTACAGCCCCTCGTCATGGTGCTGGCTTCACTGCTTCGTGCGCCGCTGTGCGTCTGGCCAGACGCTGATGCCGTGGGAAGGGGGGGGGGGGGGGGGACGGCTGGCGTGTCCTGGCCTCTCGGTGGCGTCTGAGCGCGGTGTTAGCTGTTACGTGGTCGTCGCCGACCGACCGGCCGGCCGCGAGAGGGCGCTGACGGCCGGCCGCTCCGGCGCCCGCCGCGCCGCCAGGAGGCTGTGCACCGGGAGCAGGCGGTGGAGACCAAGCTGGCCACGCTACAGCGGCTGATGGACGGCGTGCAGGCGGCCACCAACAGCAGCTGGAAGGCGCTCATCGACGAGGACCGCCTGCTGACGCGGCTCGAGATACTCGAGGGACAGCACGCGCTCTACTCCAAGGTCGGGGCCCAGTGGCGGGCGCGGGCCGACGACGGTGGCGGCGGGCACAAAACACGGCCCGGTTGGGACTGGCGATGCTTCATGATACGGCGGAATTTCCATGCAAATCAATGTGAAACAGACGTTTGCCCAGCGTGTGAGGACTGGTCATGATCAGGATAACAATTTGCTTTGTGTCGTTGGCCGCGAAGGAGGCGTTTTCCTGACGTAATGTCTTTTCAGAACTTTGGGGAGGACAAGCTGCGTGAAGAAATAGCGCGACTCCAGGAAGAAAAGAACACATACCAGAATGTAGCCAAGGAAAGTCTCAAGAAGGTTCTGCAGGAGAAACTGGAGGCTGTGCGGAGACTTCAGGAGGTAGAAAGGTATGCTGTCGATCTTTCCGAAGGATCTTGGTGGAGTAATAGTTTTTTTTTGGGGCTTGATGCGACTTTCGTCGTGTTAGTGTGACTGATTATGTTGCATCCCTGGTATAAAACATAGCGTCAATATCAAACGCACGCGGCTAATAAGCTAGGAATGTGGGTGAAGTGCTGCTGTATGTGGTGACGTAATGTACCTTTATCTTTAATCGGCTGCGGTTATTCGGTTTTTTTCTGAATGTGAACTGGTTCGAATATTGGTTTGAGACCATAGAAAGTCTCACTTACTCGCTCTCAGTCGTGCGTACATGGTCTTCACAGTCAACGCAGGTACTGAGATGCCTCCTAGGTTGTGTTCAGGACATCACAAAAAAAACGTTGTCGGTATGCTCTCAGTCATGTGTGTGCTCCACTTTTGACATTGATGCCGAAAAGTGTTCTAATTATTGCACGCGGCATTACAAGACGTGTGGTTGATGTCTTTTCCCGTTTGGGAGATGGGTTTTTGGACAAGATTGGGACACATGCGTGTGGTAAGTCTTCTGTGGATCTGGGAAGCATCCATCACGATATGAAAGCCCTGCCTGGAGTAAGGTCATCCCACCTTGCGGAGTCTCAGAGAACATGTGCGGTGCCGAAAAGCCATGTCAGGTAACCCCGGTCGTGATTGGGAGCGCGCGCTTCAGACACCCTCTGGTCGCCACCGGACGGTGGTGCCGGCCGCGAGCCGGCTCGCCCGCCGTCTGACCGGACCGGACGCCGTCGGCAGGTCGCTGACCTCCGCCCAGGACGAGTGCCGCTGCCAGACCGAGCTGCGCGAGGCCACCGCTGGTGAGCTGGCCGAGCTGGCCGCCAAGTACGAGGCCAAGCTGGCTACGCTCACCGAGCTCGAGACCAAGGTCAAGGTCAGTCGGCAGGCGCGGGGACGGGGCGCCGGTGAGCGCGGGCGGTTTCCCATCCGGTGGCTGGCGACACGTCGCAGGTGTGCCGTGGACCGCGCCGTGGTGAGTGCGGAGCCTGGTCAAGCGTGCGCCACGCGGCGGAGCTGCTGCCTGGACCGGCCGACTGTGCCTGGCTCCAGACCGGCCGAGATGTACTGGCCGTGGGCACTACGCTGCCGCTCCCTCTGTCAGGACTGGGCCGGCGCAGCACTGGCTTGCGTAGCGCGCAGCCGTCGCTGGCGCTCCTTGTCGCAGTCGGGAGAACCGCTGAGGCGACTGCGTCGCCACCAGACGTTCGGTGCCGCACCGTCTTTGTCGCCTGTATGATGCTTGTGGAACAGGGGCCTGCCTCAAGGGTCGGCCTGCATACGCAGCGTGTTTGCGTACTCGCGCGGCGTTTGTCGGCATGCGTTACATAGACGTAACATAATCTGCGTAATTGCCGAGCTTTCCCGGCACGCTGACAGCGCGGTCTGTTAGCCTTGAGCTCACTGTCCAGGCGCTGTCAGTGTGAGCTAGAGGTTGGCGTGGGTCGCGGCCGCGCTGTGAGGTGGCGTCCGGCTCCAGCTCGGTGAGCCGTGTGCGCTGGGCGGTATGAGACGCCACCCGACGCCGCCGCAGGAGCTGGAGGAGGAGCAGGCGGCGGCCGAAGAGCGCTGGCAGGCGGAGCGGGCGCGGCTGGAGGCGCGCGACGCCCAGCAGCGCACCGAGGAGGCGCAGCAGCGCGCCCGGCTCGAGGGCCTGCAGGCCGAGAGCGACTTCACCAAGCAGCAGCTGGCCGCCGTCCGGCAGAAGCTGCAGACCAAGCTGGGCGGTGGGTGTGCGCGTCATGGTGACGGCTGAACGGTGGCTGCGGCGGCGACGAGGAGCCGGCGGGCGGGAGGGCGATGATGGCGCTCTGCCCTGGAACCCTGTCACACACTCGCCCGTTGGACTGTCGAGCGTGTTAGCTTACATTGATTGGATGGACTTGGCTTAAGAGGACTGAGGTGTTCATCGACTGCATGTTACGACATGCTATATACTTTGATGGCGTGCAGCCTGCTGGCCAGAGCATCTGCGGCAGTATTTCCGCACAGGTTTGCGGTGGTGTACGCATCACGCCGTCCTGCCTGAACTCTTCCCCACCCCGGCTGAGTGGCCTGCCGTGACTGGAGCGTGACGTGTCGCGCGCAGAATGGACCCCGAACGGCGACGTGGCGCTGGAGTCTGGCGGCATGCAGCAGACGGAGCAGGAGCTGCAGACGGTGCGCACTCAGCTCAGCTCGGCCGAGAGTCAGCTGGCGGCCGCCACACACACCATCGGCCAGCTCAAGGGTGAGGGCGGACCGGCGGCGGCGGCGCTGTCCGGTCGGCCGCGCTCCGGCCGGTCCACGCTCCCGCAGGCCGCGTTCCCGCAGGCCGGGGCGCCTGTCGGGGCGGCGGAGGCGGCAGCTACAGTGGGACCTTATGGGGGAAGGGCGTGAGCTGGGGTGGACCGGGCGGGGGTCGTGTGTAGATGAGGTCTCGCTTCTGGTAGTGACCTCTGACCAGACCAAACTCGTGGGCTTTTGTGAATGCTGGGTTTTCGTGTTCATTGATGCCTGCTGCGCCGTTTGCGTGAGGCGTAATATTTGTGTCTCTTTTCAGACAGCTTTAAGGAAGCTGAAGCAGAAATTTCTACATTTAAAGCGAAGGCATCTTCATTAGAAGGTTTGTAGTGGATCCCGCTATTGTTAAGACACACGGAAGATGAAATTTCCGTAGGATTTGTCATTACATCTTGCATTGCCACATAAGTATGTTTCTGAAAATACGTGAAGTGTGTTGTGTTTTGTACTAGTAAAAAGTGTTGCTATCCATATGGGCGGAAAGTCGGGTTCCTCGTCCGTGCCGACGTGTCCAACCTGTGTGACTGTCCCGCGATGCGGGTCTGGGCTCGCCCTGGCCTGCTCCGGCTGCCGCTGACCGGTCTCACCCCCGGCAGCCGAGCTGAAGAAGGCTCAGGAGGAGCAGGCCGCTAAGCTGGAGGAGGTCCAGAAGCTGGAGCAGAGCCTCAAGGAGAAGGAGAGCGAGCTGCTCAAGCTGGAGAAACAGGTGACCGTGCGGCAGGTGACCGTGCCGGCGTTGACAGTCGCAGCCTCAGACTGGACCAGATCTGTTTGCTTCCGGAGGCCGTCTCACTTCAGCTCTGGATGCGTACTGTTTCGAAATCAGATGCAAGCACGCCCCGGATAATGGCCACCATGGAGCCATCCCAGTGCAAATGGTCCCGACAGTGTAAGTGTAAAGTCCCCTCCGCAATGGCCGGGACGTTGCGTGGCGAGTGGCTGGCTGTCCGGCCCGCGTGCAGTGCCGGCCCGTCAGCGAGCTGTTGTCGACCGCTGTCGGTCCCACCCGTGTCCGCTGACGGCCCACCCGTGTCCGCGGACTGCCCCACCCGTGTCCGCTGACTGCCCCACCCGTGTCCGCGTACCGCCCCGCCCGTGTCCCCTGTCTGCCCCACCCGTGTCCGCCGACGGCCCCACACCTGTCAGCTGTCGGCCCCACCCGTGTCAGCTGACTGCCCCATCCGTGTCTGCTGACCGCCCCACCCTTGTCCACTTACCGCCCCACCCGTGTCCCCTGACTGCCCCACCCGTGTCAGCTGACTGCCCACCCGTGTCCGCTGATGGCCCCACCCGTGTCCGCTGACGGCCCCACCCGTGTCCGCTGATGGCCCCACCCGTGTCAGCTGTCGGCCCCAACCGTATCCGCTTACTCCCCACCCGTGTCCGCTGACTGCCCCACCCGTGTCCGCTGATTGCCCGTCTCGCCGCAGCGGTCGGCCGGTGATGCCGACATCAAAGACAGCCAGGTAGACGTCGCGCAGCTGAAGAACAAGGTGCAGACGTTGCAGGGTGAGTGGTCCAGACCGGACGGCCGGAGGGGTCGCCTGCCGCCGCTGTACCACGACGGTGGGCGGGAGGGGGGGGGGGGGGGCACAGACGCCGGGCACGTGCGGCCGTCGGGACGGCACAAACAGGCAGCACGGTCGGCCGTCACTCGTTTTTGGGGGGGATGTTTGTTCCCATTTGCTTTGTCTTATTTGCTTTGTGTTATATCTGCTTGTTTTTCGTTTCGGTCTGTTTTTGTTTTTATCCCTGTTTTCCGGCGCTGTGGTGTATGTATGGTGTGCCTAACCGCCTGCCTTTGGTTGTAGAGCGTTTGCGGATAATGGCACTGCACGTAGAGCACTACATATGCACTGTAACCATACTAAAAGGTTTGTCGCCCGTCCTCCCCCGTGAGGCGCGGCTGCATGCTGGCATGGCATGTCGATGTGTTGAGCAGCGTGCGCGCCATCCGGCCTCGGAGTGCACGAGTACGCCTTGAGCGGATGCATCCTCATCTGACAGATGTCAGGACCAGGCGGCCGGCTCTAAGTCCTGCTCGTCTGACAGACGTCAGGACGAGGCTGCCGGCGCTAAATCCCGCCCATCTGACATGTCAGGCTTAGGCTGTCGGCATTACACCCTGCCTGTCTGACATGCCAAGCTAAAGCTGCCGGCACTAAATCCTGTACATCAGATGTCAGGCTGAGGCTGTCGGCATTACACCCTGCCTGTCTGACAGATGCCAAGCTAAAGCTGCCGGCACTAAATCCTGTACATCAGATGTCAGGCTGAGGCTGTCGGCATTACACCCTGCCTGTCTGACATGCCAAGCTAAAGCTGCCGGCACTAAATCCTGTACATCAGATGTCAGGCTGAGGCTGTCGGCATTACACCCCGCCTTTCTGACAGATGCCAGGCCAAAGCCGCCGGCACTAAATCCTGTTCATCTGACAGATGTCAGGACGAGGCTACCAGCACTGCGTCGTCCGTGCTCTGGTGTGCCTCACGTGATGTCCCGCCGCGCTCTGAGTGTTGCAACATCGCCACCCTTTCATCATGCGTAACTCTCCGCTGTTTTCGTACCTTAGATGCCAAGAAATCGAAGCACTTCATTAAATTGCAGCAGGAGCTCGCGTAGTTGCGCTGGCGAAACCGTGATGGAACGTACCCTAACCGCAGAGGTGCCACATTCCAGAAGGATATCTCTGTTTGGGCTGCGCAGGGGTGATATTTTTGTGAATGATGGGGCCGACCGAGCCAAAGGCCTGATGACCAATCCCCGCCCCCAGCCCTACGCCCCATTGTTCTCATTGCTTTTCGCGTACGTTATTTTGATGGGAGGGAGTGGGAATTCCCAGCCTGAATTTGTATACCAATGAGAAGTAATATTTAATTTAAGCAGCACAGTAGTTATGGGGGGGGGGGAACTGGGAGAGGGGGGGGGGAACTCTAGAGGAAGTGTTCCTTCTGATCGGAAAGTAAAGGCCCCCCTAGAGGCCATCTTAGGGCGCCGAAGGAACTCTTCTGTGGCGGGTAGGGGGGGGGGGGGGGGGGCGGCACGTATTTTTGGCTCTGGGACAGGGACAGGGTTAATTGTGATGGACTTAGCTGCAGTTCGTGGTTTGGAGCTTTTCAGTTTAACTTCTCTAACCTTGCTTATCTTATGGTCCTATTATGGTCAAATTATCTCCTGGCCTCCCATGCAGCGGAGGGAGCCGCGGCACGTCACGCACTTGTGCATCATATGCGTCACGCATACGCACGCATACTCTCCTACTTCCTGCGCATGTCATGCATGTTCTGACGCATGTTGTACAATCGCATGACATGATGCTGCTGACGGGTGGGATTTACTGGCGGCTGCTTTGCTTTGCTGCGCATGTACACATTCCGTCGCGGCGCCAATGGTCACTGGCCGGATGACATGGTGGTGCATGGTCAGATGTGTCGACCGTTAGCGTTGCCGCCGTCGGTAACAGCGGCCGAGACAGCGCAGCGCCGTGTCGGGCGGCGGGCTGCTGGGCCGGCCGACACTCGGCCACGGGCGCGTGGCGGCCGCGCCGCCTGGTGCCGAGTCGACGACACCTGCTGGCTTGGCGCTGCGCCGCTGGGAACGGCTCACCGCTGCCAGCTCCGGAGCCGTCACCTTACTAACGCATGCCAAATGCCCACTGTCTCCCATTCGAGGTGGGCTGTGTGCCTCTTGACTTCTGCCGCCTTTCCCTCGCATTGGCCTACGACACGGCCGGCATCAGTGGCGAGCGGGGCCAGCCGTCGAGGCCCAGCCCGGGTCTGGGATGGTCGGGTGAGGGTGGGGTGGCGCCGAAAGGCCCAGCAGCTGGTGACCGGCGGTGTCGGCGGGCCGACAGAGCTGTTGGACGAGACGCGGCGGGCGGGCGCCGACTGCGACGGGCGCGTCGAGCGCTACCAGTCGCAGCTGCTGGTGACGCGCAACAACGCCCAGGAGGCGACCCTGCGCGCTGACCACCTGGGCTCCCAGCTCAAGGTTAGTCTCGCTGCGGTCGCTGCTCGGATTTGGCGTGAGCGTGAGGCACATCTGCTGACCAGGTTTTGTGGACTCGGCGCCCCTGTCGGCAGTGAGCCCGCTGACGGTGTTTTAGCGTCATTTTCCCGGGAGGATGTCGTGACCGCGTGCCGACGATGACCTCGTGTGCCGCGAGCCGGTGTGCCGGCGCACGGCGTCAGCAGTCAGGCCTGTCGGTGCCGGCAGGAGGCCGAGTCGAGCCTGGCGGTGCAGTCGGAGCGGACCGAGCAGCTGCAGCAGATGGTGCTGCGGCTGGCGGCCAGCGTCACCGAGGCCGTCGGACAGCTGCAGACGGTGCAGCAGGCGGCCGACCAGCGGCAGCAGGCGGCTGAGCAGGACCGCGCGCGCGCCGAGCAGCTTCGGGGTGAGCGAGCGGCACGCCGCCGACTGGCCCGGCCAGTCTCGCGGGCAGGCCAGACGGTCCAGGGCGGGGCGGCCAGGGCTTCCCGGGTCACGCAGTGGCACCTCTTTGGCGTGTGGTGTGCGGGCAGCTTGCACCTGCTGGTCGTAGGTGGCACTACTGTGTTCGTTGTCGTTGACGCAAGCTCGTTATGGCACGTTTGGTCACCACCCAGGCTGGGCTCGTACAAACGTCGCCCGCCCTGTCGGCGGCTGGAGCCGCGTTACCTCCGGCGCCTCTAACCGCCGGAGGAGGTGACACGGCTCCGGCCGTCTGACCGCCGGAGGAGGTGACGGCGCCTCTGACCGCCGCCGCCGCCGCCGCCGCAGGTCAGCTGGCGGCTGCCGAGCAGCGCGCCGACGCCTCGGACAGCGAGGCGGGCTCCATGCGCCTCCAGCTGGCCGAGCTGCGCGCTCAGCTGGCGGCGGTGCGCGCCGACGCCGAGCAGCGCCAGCAGCAGCTCAACTCGGCCGGCGACCGGCTGCAGCAGCTGGAGCTGCGCTGCCGCACGTGAGTCGACGCCGGCGCGGGCGATGGGCGCTGGCCGCGTTAGGGGTGCTCCCGAACACGGTACGCCGGTGGTTATGCGGTGGCTGCTGTGGAGAGGTGGTTTAATGTGTGCTCTAGGGGTACCAATGCGCTCGGCATAACAGCAAGACTGCACCGTGCCGGAAATGGCCTGAGTCTGCTGCCCCGGGGAGCTGTTGTGTGTAGTCAAGATAAGTCGGTCTGGGAGGTACGCGCCGTGACTGAGACCGGTCGCCAGGTGTGAGGAGGAGCGGGACGCGGCACTGGCGCGCTGCCTCAGTCTGGAGGCGGCGGCCGCCGAGCTGAGCTCTGGCGGCGCCGCCGCCACGCCGCCGGACCAGCCCGAGGACCCGGAGAAGGTCGAGCTGCGCCGACAGCTGCGCCGCATGGACGAACAGCTCAAGGAGCTGGCCGTGCAAAACCGGACGGTGAGGCGGCCGCGCGCGACCCTCTCGCGGCTTCGCGCACTCGGTCACTCGCGCACGGGCGGACGCTCACTCACACTCGCTCTCATGCATTCTTCACCGGTCCACTTTTTCATTATCACGCATTGAATGCCCTTGTATACGCTCATTTGCTCATACATGCCCGCGCACTACCACCGTTCGTTATTCCACTGCTGGTGACTCCGTGACGCAGTGACCCACGCAGATGCTGGTACACTGACTTCCGCCCACCACCCTATGCTCTCTCCTTGCTTTTATCTTATCATTCTCGCACTGCTCACTGCCTGGCCACATTCCACTATCTATCAAGAATGCCATTTGCACATACTCCTCCAGTCATGCGCCTGTTCATGTGTTGCATCGTATCGTAGGTGTAGCGGGCCGCTCTTGTCTTGCTCATAGTGCTCCGCTTGGCCTCAGTATCAATGTTCCGTGCTCTGGGATGCCGCCCTGCCGATAGCTTCACGTGGTACGCGTCCAGTGACGTCACTGGCTCGCGATCCGCAGTCCGGTGCCTATCGGTACGCTGTGCACTCGTGCTTTGGATGTTGTGCTGTCTGGTATGCCCCGGCGGAGGCGGCGCGCTGCGTGGCCGAGCTCGTCGCCGGTTAACGCGGCAGCCCCCTCCCTAAATAAGCGGATGTGGGGGTCGCCGCTGGCGGACTGTGTGCCGCCTGCTCGCGGTGCACTAGCCGGTCGTGGGCGCCAGCGCGCCGCCACCGCCCGGGTCACCGTCGTGCGCATCGTGTCTGCACACTGCACCGTCGCCGGGCGCCTGCTGTCTGAATCGCACCCTCGGCAACGGCGCTTCTCTCTCTCGCTCTTGCAGATGGACACCTCCAACATTATAGCCGTGGCAGTTGTGGTCGTAGCGCTCTTCATCACGCTGCTTGTGATGAACTCGTAGCACGTGTCGGTACGTCAGGTCGGCTGCCTGCCCCTCTGCCCGCTCTCCGTCCCGCTCCCGCTGCCTCGGCGGTGCGGCGCGGCGGCTCGGCGCCGCGACCTCCAGTGCAATCCTCATGTGTATGTGCGCGCGCGCGGGAGGGAGGGAGCTCGTTTGACCGGCTGGCCGGCAAGAGGAGACGGCCGGCGCCGGAGGTAAACGCAGCGGGCGCGGCGCCGTGGTCGGCCCGTCTCGCTCGTCTCTGAACTCGCTCGGGGCGCTGCCGTCGCCGAGCGCGGTGGCCGAGGTGGGGTCGAGCCGGCCGGCGGCGGCGGCATCCGTCCACTGCCGCCGCCGGCTGTGTGAGGGCGTGCCGGGGCGCGCGCCGTGCGCTGACCGGCCGGCCGGCCGTGCCCTCCGCAGGCCACGGCCTGCAGCGTGCTGCCGCTGCTGGTGCTCGCCTGGAGTGTCTGCATCGCCTTCTACGACTGGCTCGCCTGCCTGACGGCCACGCGCGAACCGTAGCGGCCCGGCCGGCGCGCCAGCCGTCGCCCGCTCGGCGCGCGCCCGTCCCCGCCACCCGAGATTCTAAGTTGCTGGCGGATAGCGTGATCGATACTCTCTCCACCGGTGATAGCCACTGCCTCAGGCGACGCCATTACGTGCCATCTCCTGCAGCAACCAGTACAAACCGGTTCGGCACGTTCGTTGCCGGGTCGGGGCGCCTCCCGTCGGGAGAGTCATCAGCGGCAGCTGCCGGTTGCAGAGCACTGGGTATCATCCGAACGCAGTTTACCTTAGTTATGGACGAGCGGAGCCATTTAGCCAAATTGCATCTTGTGTAAGTGTTCCGCATCGGGGATATTTTATGATGTGTTAAGTAGCCGTATCATGACCTTAAAGCATTGGTGTTAAGTAGGTACTCCTAGTTGCCAGGTCTATGCGGAATTTAGTTAATTTGATGATTAGCTGCGTTTGCCCTACCTCGCAATCTACCACGGCCGCCACGTTCGATAACTTTTCTAATCCCATCTTCCCCGAGTCAGAGAGCAGTGCTTCAGCTGGTGCGTGCGGAAGCAGTATGTGTGTATGTTTGCGTGCGTGTGCTGAACCTGTGCACAGTTGTGTGCGAATGCGAGTGTGCGATATGTCCCGCCGAACGACGCTTGTGCCATTTCGCCGACCCCGATCTCTAGCGAACACAAAATCTACTTACGCGACGTCACCTGCGGGCATCGGCCGCGGCCTCCGGCTGGCCGCACGTGGAGCGTCTACGACGTACTTGGAGCGTCTACTGCCGCACGTGGGGCGTCCACGGCCGCACGTGGAGCGTGCGGTGTGCCGCGGTGTGGACGGGCGTGCGCGCGGCGGCGGCAATCCTTTTGTACGTGGTGCGTGTGAGTGGGAGCGGCCGCCGCCCTTCTGTTACCTCACGGCGGCCGGCCGCCGTCGGGCCCGCCAGCCGTCTGGAAATCATTCGCACGCGGATCGTTTAAGGCTTGTTGATTATTTTATTTGTTACACTATGTGAGCTTGTAAATATACACTTTCCCAGCCAGCCGCTCTGGTTTTGTTTGGTGGGGATTGACCCAAGCTGTGGCCTCCGGGGACCGGAGACGAGTCGACTGTCGCCTCTGGCTGACTTGACCGAGGGTCGATCGATGACCTTTCGACCGTGGTGCTGCCTCCTAACAAGTGACAGGTCGCCCCCGCTTCCGCCGATCCGCCGGGGGCTGTCGGAGATCAGCCTCTTCGTCGCCTGGACGTGAGCGCCGGCTGCACGCCCTGCACTGCGGACCGCGGGCCCAGCTGTTCCCCGCGGCCGGAGCCGACCGGCGAGGTGGCCGAGCACGCCGGCTCCAGCCGCAGCTGACGCCGTCCGAGCTGACTGAGCTGGGCAGTCCGGCCGGGCCGATTACCGTGACTGTCAGCGAGGTCGATGTGGCCAGTCCAGGTTCGGGGGAGAGTGGGCGCAAGCGCTGCCCAGCTGACAGTGTGCTCGCAACGTCGGCGAAAGCTCATCATCTGCACTGGCGTGCACCAAATGTCAATCCGAGGATCGCTTTAATGTATCATCGTATTTGCGTAAATCCCGTCTCTGCTGGTATCGTGTGACCCCGCGGTCGAAGCGCCCCGCGACCCCGATAATAGGATCCCCTCTGGTCATTTGTCGCCATCTAAAGCCGCTTCCCTGCAATTGATGTCTGCCGTTCGCAAACGACAGGCAGGTTGGAGGGTACGCTTTCCCCTCCCCATCAATCTCTAGGCAAAGGTTGAACGCTTGTCTGAGGGAATGTTCCACATTTGATGATACGGAGACAAGCAACAAATGGGACGAAAAAAGCCCAGTTGTAGCAATTGGTATGCCAGTGACCGCTCTGGGATACAAAACTTCGCTTGTTAGTAAATATACTCCTCACTATGTCATCGTTTGGCGTCATGTAACGTTTTTATGACGTCTGAGTCGTTGCCACATTGGGGGTGTCAGAATTGCCGCTGTAGCGGACGGGCTGGCTCGATTGTACTTCTACTCGTCGAAAGGTGGCGTTGGTGGCCATGACTTCAAGGTCATGTTTCGAGCGCTGTGCCCATGTATTTTGGTCCTCGTGGCGTTTTTGCGTATGCGTTCGTGACTTTATATTTTTACCTGCATTTGCATTATCGGTTGTGGCGTCATGCTTAAGGTATTATTTCTCCGAACTCATGTCCGACATAACTAGTAAGACTGCCGATGCCTGTATTATGAATTATGTAGCGCGATTCGTGATCGAAACTTGCTTTTAACGCACTTAGTTGATTGAAAGCCAACGGCTGCCCGTCGATGCGAAGATTATTGTTGACATTTTTCAGGCGTGAATGAGTCAAGTCATATTTTTCTTGACATTGGGCACAATATGGCCGCTGAGCAGGCGGGGGTCATGTGACGTCTTTATGGAGCCATGCGTCTCAGGGGCCTCCAACGTAGGCAGTGCGAAATGTTCTGAACGCGCTCGCGTGCGCATAGCTCAAAACTGGATGATTTCAAGTAAAAAAGGCAGAATCTGAACTGCAGGGAAGTATGTTACTTGTTTAGTGCGTTAGCGAGGAACATTATTCACATAGATAAGACACTAGTAATAGCCACATTTTTCGGGGTAACACCAGGACAACGGGTTTGGGTTGATATCTCGACAACATGCCTTTATCGAAACAATGGCACCAATATTCAGGGGATTAAACGAGGAGCGATTGCCAGCGATTACCACGGTACAATGCATATCCAGGAATTATACGCGAGAATACGTGTGCATGCAAACGAATTCAAGTAAACAGGCATCGCGCATCATGCTTCATTCAAGCATGCAAGCGAATTCAAGCAAACAGGCATCACACATCACGCGTCAGGCATCACTTACACTTGCAAACAATTTTAAGCTAGCAAGCACCCCACCAAGGCCCATCACATTCGCATAATCGGCAATGATGAATGCTGTACGTTAAAATTTGGTCGCCGACTTTTTATAAGAACAGACTCATTATATCTTCATTGTGGTTTTATAAGATACATTCACAGTGAATCTATCCGTATAAAAAGTCGGCGACCAAATCTAAGCGTATGGGCTCATCATTGCCGATTGCGCGAACGTGACTGTGCCTTGATGTGTGATGTGTGCTAGCTTAAAATCGTTTACGTGTATCGGCGATGCCTGACGCGTGATGTGCGATGCCTGTCCGACTGAAATCGCCTGCGTAAATAACTGGTGCGTGGTGTGTAATGCCTGTTTACCTGAACTCGCTTGCATGTTTAAATGGAGCGTAATGCGTGATGCCTGTTCACTTGAACTTGCTGGCATGTACACGTACCTTCGCGTATTCTAGTTCTTAGATATGCGCTGTATCGTGGTAATGGCTGGCAATCGCTCCTTGTTTAATCTTCTGAATGTCCGTGTCCTGCTAAAAACTGTCGCTTGCTGTTTAAAACAAAACCGAAAACCGAGTAGGGTCATCGGCAGGCAATTTCGAATTAACTTCTGTCGTTTCAATAAATGCATGTTGTCGAAATATCAACCCATCTATAACTCCATTCTCCTTGTTATTCTTCCAGCAATAAAGTTTATACTCCTGCCTTATCTCTGCAGGGAATTACGTTGAACATGACCACTTCAGTTCAAGACCACGTACAAGTATGGAGCAGCCCCTTAAAAGACCACGTCCAAGTATGGAGCAGTCCCTTAAAAGCTTGATTGTTCATGGCATGGTGTTGGATCTTTCTTATGATTGACGTAAGGTGAAAATGATTCTTGATGTACCAACGGCTATACATATTTTACTGTACATTGAAACAACCGAGACGAAGGCTTTTGTTGTGCCTCTTTGGTTTTGTATTAAGTACAATTATTGACATGTGAAGGATCGCTGCCAGCCGTACACAAACCGTTCCTCTGCCCACTCGGATTGTGCGTTGTTTCATTTTGCAGCAGACACATTCAAATCAAGACCTCTGTTTTTACAACTGCTTTGCTTCAACTTAATGACCTCAACTAAGATGACTTTCATCTTTAAAATACAATTATGGACCTCTTAAGAATAATTGTTTGCCATACACAAGTTCCTCTGCCCACTCGGAAAGTGTTTTTCCCTTCTGCTCGAGGTCCGGTAAAAAGTATCGCTGCACGTTGCATTCATGTGGAAATTTTCCGATGCATGCTGTTCTTTCAGTTGCAAGCACTTTCTTTGCAGCCAGCGATCGGTGGGGCAATAACTGCGATACTTTCAGTGCTTTTCGGTGTTTTTAATCTTTTAATGTGGAAACATTAGGCGATCTTTTGGCGCTCGTTATGCCGGTGTACGTTTGGTGCTCCTAAGGCGCATTGGCTAGTCGAATCTAAGAGCATTTACCAGACAAATCTGACATCATTTGCCAGCCAAATCTCGCATGATTTGCCGGCCAAATCTGAGATGCTATACTAGTCAAATATGGGATCATGCTCCATTTAAACCTGAGAGCACTGCCCAGTCAGAAAGATCAATTGTAAGTCAGATCGGGTGGTAGATATCCGTAGTATGGTGCTTGTTTTTCTGATTCCTGGGTGTTTGAGCGAGCGGCTGCACCTGCCGAGCGTGACTTTACCCTGGCTCAGGCCGGCGCCAGCGCATGCCTGCAGCTCTCGGCCTCCGTCTGGAGCACCACGTCTGAACCGCTCCAGCCCCTGTCAACCGTATGTCTCTGGAGTCAGGATCAGTCAGCTCGCTCTGGACCAAAAACGTCCTGCGTGGCTGTCGCAAGCCATAGCACAGCACTCGGCAGGGCGTCCTGCGTGGCTGTCGCAGGACCATAGCACAGCACTCGGCAGGGCGTCCTACGTGACTGTCGCAGGCCATAACACAGCACTCGGCAGGGCGTCCTGCGTGGCTGTCGCAGACCATAGCACAGCACTCGGCAGGCGTCCGCTTGGCTCGGCAGGGCGTCCTACGTGCTGTCGAGGCCATAACACAGCACTCGGCAGGGCGTCCTACGTGACTGTCGCAGACCATAACACAGCACTCGGCAGGGCGTCCTACGTGACTGTCGCAGGCCATAACACAGCACTCGGCAGGGCGTCCTGCGTGGCTGTCGCAGACCATAGCACAGCACTCGGCAGGGCGTCCTACGTGGCTGTCGGAGGCCATAACACAGCACTCGGCAGGGCGTCCTACGTGACTGTCGCAGGCCATAACACAGCACTCGGCAGGGCGTCCTGCGTGGCTGTCGCAGACCATAGCACAGCACTCGGCAGGGCGTCCTACGTGACTGTCGCAGGCCATAGCACAGCACTCGGCAGGGCGTCCTACGTGGCTGTCGCAGGCCATAACACAGCACTCGGCAGGGCGTCCTACGTGGCTGTCGCAGACCATAGCACAGCACTCGGCAGGGCGTCCTACGTGACTGTCGAGGCCAACACAGCACTCGGCAGGGCGTCCTACGTGGCTGTCGCAGGCCATAGCACAGCACTCGGCAGGGCGTCCTACGTGACTGTCGCAGGCCATAACACAGCACTCGGCAGGGCGTCCTACGTGACTGTCGCAGGCCATAACACAGCACTCGGCAGCGCGGCGCTCCGCGGCCACCCCAGTGTGGCGCGCGGCTGTGCTGAACGTCGGCGGCTCGGCCAGCGCGTGCCCCCACCGTCTCACGCCCGGCTGGAAGAGTGGCCCGGCCGTCAGGGCAGCACGGAACACCGCCGGTAAATGAGCACTTCCCGGTGGTGCTCTCGTGTGTGGCAGGCTTGTCGAGTCGGCGAATGCCCTGTTATGAGACAGCCTTCCCGGTGGTGGTGCGACGCAATGTAGCCACAAGGCATGGGCGGACGGCCCAGCCAGTCGGTATAAATCGCTCACCTCCGTAATCGCGCGCGTGTGTGTGGGGAGGGGGGGGGGGGCGTGGTTTAGAGCGTGACCACCGACCTAGAGTCGACGTACCCGTAGCAACCAGCGAGAGATCATGATCTGACGTGACATGACCTGAACCAGGTCATCCACGGTATTGAATGCGTCAAACTTCCAGACAGCATCGCTGGGAGGCGTGGAAGTACTTCGGCGGACCCCGGTTTCAAACGCACGTTACGCCCGGTCGCCGCTCCCTGATATGCTCTGACTTGGTTCGAGCCGGGGCAGAGGGCCTCCAGCTGGACCGATGGAGCTGCGGCTGGGCTGGCCGGCGCTTCTGCGACGCGTTCGCTCGCGCAGATGAGGGGCAATGCGGAAGATACCGCTGGACACGACCTGGCGTGATGCCAGTGAGTTTCACGGGCGTATCACTCCGCGATGTTGCCGGAAGGGATACGCTCGATGAGATAACAAACGGTCTATGCGCCGCAGCTGCTCCTTTTTGTAGCGACCAAACTAGGTACCGAATATAGCTTATCGGCACGGGTAAGGACAGCAGGGTAGCCATTTGAGTGATAGCATAAAGAGACTTTCAAAGCATGCTAGACAATGTGCACGCTTACATACATTGAGACAGGCGGTATATCATGGGGTAGCATGCTCTCTTCTCTCCATGTGACTGTCGCAAGGAGACTGCCGCCTCCTAACGGAAATTCCGAGTTCTCCCACACCACAACTTTTACACCAGTGTACACAGACTGGGCATCGCATCTGGCCTGCACTCCTGCTGCCTGACCTTTCCAACATCATGGTACCGGACTTGTGCTGGACTCTGAACGGAGTCGAAGTCGTTTCCGTGTCCCACGGAATGCGTGTTAAGCCAGGCTGGAATCGTTTCCTTCGACATTTGCTAGTGGGCCAGAGCCGGGGTCGAGCGAACCGAGTTCTGGATAGCTCTGGTCAAGCTCCTCCAGAAATCAGCTCTCCAATACCTGTTGGGCTTATGACGTCACAGCTTGCACAAGATACCTTAATCACCTCTTTTTTCGGTCGCCGACATCAAAACCCGCAATAATAGCCGTATAACTGTGTTACTGGCACCAAACGCAAATGCGTGTTATAACGCTTCAGGGGCATGCCAAGATGTTGGCAAAGGTCTCGGTCTACGTAATGTCACATCATTCACATCATTCACCTCACTTCATATTCTCTGCTTTTCTGGTTGATATACTTAGTTATATTGGTTTGAAAATGTGTGGCTTGTACCCAATAACTGCCAAAGGTTGGCTGGAAGGTACTGGCTGGACGGTCCTCACGATTTGACCCAATATGACCTAGCTTAAGGGGCCTGGTGTGGTCTGTCTTTCTTGATGATGTCGTAGCTCCATGACCTGACATAACATTGGAAGATTTCCACAATTCCAATATGTCACCTTGATTATATGACAGCGGTAGAGAATTCGATGGGCCTACTTGTAACGTTTCGGAAATAATCACAGCAAAGCAGAGAGCTGTTTTTAACCTCCTGCGATCGCGGTTCACTAAAGCAGTCCAACGCGTTATCCCTTGTGGATGACAACACTCATCCAGGACAGCCGGCCTCCACGAGCCCCGTGCAATTCACGCTCACACACAGACCACCAACTCCAGCGTACAACCTCTGCTGGCTCAGGATGAGAATCATCAGCGATTACATGCCCGGTCCGGTCAGATCGCGCATGGCATGACCCACGTTCGGTAATCACAATCACATCTACCATTCAAGCACCCCTGCCGTGAACGTCCTTTGCGTAAATTGGGCACGAATTTACGAGTAGCTTGGTGCCCTTGCAGCAGCACGTGTTGACGTAACGTCCTACCCATCCCAGGCCTGTGCGGCACCCTCATCACATTGGTACTCCCCGAACAGCTTAAACAGGACGCTCGTGAAGACGGAGCACCGGTAGCTGCAGGCGCCGCCGCCGCTGTCAAAAACGGGGGAACAAGCGTCGTTCAAATGACGCATATCAGCGACAAACACTTCAGCGCGCCATTTCCCACATGCATGTTAAATTCTTGATTGAGGCACTTGATGAGCCAGTCAGATTCCTGGAATCTGTCTGCCCTTTAGCAGGAGCCCAGCGCGTCTGACACAGAGCTGGCCTGACTAGGTCGTTCACGATCACTCCCATCTCGCTGGGGTCCGCAGCAGGGGAGCGGCTTCGCTGCTCGCCTGCCTGGAAATCACGTCTATACACGCTTCTGCTACGTACGTGGCATACTGGGTCCGCCGCCAGACCCACGCAGAGGATGTCGGCCTATCCGCCGCCCAACTGTCGCCAAACAGGCCAGTTAGCTGACCGCCGTGCCGGACCGTCGTCCGACCGCCTCGGCTACCTGCGACTGGTCTGCGGCCAGACGACGGAGAGCCCTCCGGCTGTGTCTCGGGCTCCCCAGCCCCGCAGGCAGCTGGCCTGTGCCGCCGGCCTGCGTGCTATCGACAGTGTCCCGCATGGCCCGGCGGCTAGCTGCCAGGCTCGTAAGCTGACTTCCAGACGTCGGCGAGGCAGACGGACGAGTGGAAGCGGTAGAAAAGGCAGAGCGGTGTTGTGGCGTGCCGCAGCAGCGTCCAGGTGAAGTTGCCGTAGAAGTGGACGCCCAGCGTATCCTGGCTGGCCTGGTTCTCCAGCGTCTGCAGCAGCCACATGGCCAGGTTGCTGAAGAGCAGTACTGTCACGTACTCGCGACCTGGCTTGGCGACGCGCAGCTCCTCTGTGTTGCTACAGCGACGCAGGCTGTCCATCAGAAACGGTGTCTGGATCACCACCTCGCTCACCTGGCGACACAGGGCGCCAAGTCGTCACCAGGCTGCAAGGCCGCGACCCGGGCACTGGAGGCACAGAGCAGTCGCCGAAAGACTGGGATATCACTACCTATGTCATTGGATGTTGCAAGGCGCAGGATCACCATCTCAGCCACCTACTGTCAGGGTGCACAGTCACTGACAGGCCGTGAGGTCACCATTTCCGTCACTGACAGGCCGTAAGGTCACCAGCCTTGTCACTGACGGTCCGTGAGGTCACCACCTCCGTCACTGACAGGCGGTGAGGTCACCAGCTCCGTCACTAACAGGTGGTGGGGTCATCGGCACAGTCACTGACAGGCCGTGAGATCACAGCTTCACCACTGACAGGCGGTGGGGTCATCGGCACAGTCACTGACAGGCCGTGAGATCACCAGCTCCACCACTGACAGGCGGTGGGGTCATCGGCACAGTCACTGACAGGCCGTGAGGTCACCACCTCCGCCGCGGGGCGGCACGTGTTACATCTCCAAGATCCAGCATAAGTCACATCTGTCAGGCCGCCAAAGTCAACTGTCAGAACGCCATGTCCTCCCAAATCAACGGCGGTTTTCAGGCGCGTCAACTACCTTGCCTATTTTTGTTGGTCTTCAACACCAACAAATTAATGGTCTTGAACCTGCCAGGTGCTGGCTATCTCCCCCTCCCGCCCGCCCCCCCCCCCCCCCCTCTGAAGCACTACCGTGCCCTTCGTGTCGGTTATTCCTAATTACCCGCAGGACCCTTACTAAAGAGCTTGAAGTTCAGGCCCAACCAACCCGCGAAGTCACAGACAATACAAAACACACAAACACATGCGCAGGTGTGTGTGGGTGAAATGCTACGAGAGAAGGCTAATTGATGAGCTGTACGGTGACTAGCGGGTCGGGAGAGGGGACGGGCGACTCGTCCTTGAAACTTTGTTGAAAGCCAGTTACAGCCTCGGCGATACATGAGCCTATGTTCCAATGATGAACACCAAAGAAGGCTGTAAAGAGCCACTGATTTCCCGGTCATCAGCCGTTAGCGTGACACTTGAAATTGGGGCACATAGGCGCAAGGATGGACCCTGATCACGTATCTGTCGCTTGACCTATGTCTGACCCAGAATCCTGAGATATTCATCAAGTCTAGCCAAACGCAGCCCGTCCATACACGCACAGCGAGGTTCTAGCGCAGTGCATGACTCCAGGATCGGTACGTACCAGGAGAATTGGCACCATTACGTCGAGCGCGTGGGACCGATCCCCCGCAGGCGGGAACAGCGCCGGCAGCAGTATGATGATGCCGTACAGGAAGAAGGCCGGCAAGCATACAAAGAGGAGCAGGTCGTCGAGGAAGGAGATTGGATGGATATTGATGTCCAGGCAGGTGAGCTTGTTGTACGCTAGCAGGCAGAGCACTGTCATGAGCGCTGTCAGGAACACCTCGCTCCCCTGGCTGATGTACAACGCCGCGGCGCCTGCAAAACAGACGCGGAAGCTGCGTCACGCGCTGCACCAGCCCCCACGTCAGACCTTTGCGTCCTGGCTGACGTGGGGGGGGGGGGGGGGAGGAAGGGCGTCGGGCCGGCGGCTTCAGTCAGCCCACGCGGTGCTGATCCCAGACGCCGCCGGAGACGCCTCCGAAGACAGTGCCGGATTGCTATGCCGCGGCGGGCCCGGCCCAGCGGTGGGCTGCCCAGGCTGCGGGCGTGTGCTGAGGGCATTACATGCGGGCGTGTGCTGAGATGTCTTATCGGGTTCGAATGACGATGTTGGCTAAAATCCAATTGAGCTACGCCACACACCGACTGCAAACCTGGTTGGCTCAAAGGTCCCAATTTATCATTTTAAAAGCTTATTCCTGCTGCAATTAATCCATTGGACTCCTCGACTTCCCTATCAACACGCATGCCGTCTTCGACAAGATCGACATCGGTTATTTGACTTGTATCACCTACAGCCACAGGAATTGTCCAGTAGGCTTCAAGACTCGATTGCATTTGCCACAAATCGTGCGAAAGCTTACGGTGCTTTATTTCGATAAGGCTTCTTTATTCGAGATTGGATTCGGATCGTAAAATATGCCCGGTCGGCCGCACGCAGCACCAAAGTCAAGCCGCAAGCTCTGCGGAGGGTTCGCTGGGCTGTTCGAAGTCCCACCGGTCTGCAAGCCGCTTGAGGCTGGCTCCCACCCTGTCGCACAGATGGGATGGGCAACCTAACAAGGAGTGAACCCGCCGGAAAAAGTGATAGGCATGTGTCAGTGAAGTCACGTGATCTGACTAATGTGTCTTTATTTCTGCCAGACTTGCATTACTCGCGCCATAATAAAGGTGGCAAGTTCCCGCTCCAACACAGCGCTCTATGCAATATGCGGTGGGGACAACAGTGATGAACATATGAGAGAATGATGGTTCTATCAAATGTGCCGTCATGGATGTTTCTATTTCAATTTGGATAGCGATATGACAATGCCAGACATGCATGAACTGCATTCGTATTGTTAGTTTTGTGTCTTCCACCTTTAACGTACCGCGATGAACGGTCGTTAAGCGCTTTATGGTCGTAATTGAACTCTATTCGTCAACAAACAAGAAGTTACAGCTATTGAACGACTACTTTGGGGAAGCGGGCAGCGTGGTCAGACGGGAACAGGATCGTGGTCTAACACGAAAATGCAAAGAGCCAACCTCATTTGAAAGTTCTGCAAGCAGTGTCTCGCTTTTGCGGGAGACTGCTTGGCTTCCATCCAATACTTGCGTTGAATGCGGCTTTATTGTGTTACAAACTCATTTCGTAAATCAGATGGCTGTCTGGGACTTGAACGTACCGAAACATGCAAAAGTTTCCAGAGCATTTGAAGCTTTTAATCTCGCAACATCTTGAGACAGGGTAGTGTACAAGTAAGTGGCTGAGACGGGTCCGTAAGAAGGTTACTCAGGCAAGGCCACGGGAAGGTGGTAAATGCCGGCGCTTTACTTCAGAAACTGTGAGTTAAGTGTAATGTGAGCACGAAACTGGGTGGGACATGAATTTTCGTGCATGGAAAGCCATGCAAGATCACGTTTATCTTGTATCATTATTACATTTATATGTCTATGTATTTTGTATCATTATATCTAATGCGAAAATCTCACATTTGACGGCACTGGGTCCCATACAGCTCGTTCTTGAGTTCAAGATGTAGATTATTTTGGCCAAGCCTAATTCGCATGGCGTCTTTCTTTTCTGGCGATGCCCTTCCCATGCTGCAATATCTCTGCCAAGTTTTGGCCTTGACCCGTTTCGTCCCCATTTCACGACATCACCGTGACACTATCATATATTACTGGTACATATCACTGGTAGCACTCCCATTGGACAATGTTGAACTGAAAGACGACGGAAGAATGTGAAATGTGTGGTTAAGGTTCTGGAAATGTATTGCTGTTGACAACTGCTTTTTAGAATATAAACATCCTGGTGATCTATACGGCATAACTTGGAAAATTCATTTAGAAGGCTAACTCTTTAAGGATTATGGTGTCATGACAAAAGATGACTTACCAGCGTAAGCCAAGCCTGGCCACGTCACAATTACCAGCGTAAGCCAAGCCTGGCCACGTCACAATTACCAGCGTAAGCCAAGCCTGGTCACGTCACAATTACCAGCGTAAGCCAAGCCTGGTCACGTCACAATTACCAGCGTAAGCCAAGCCTGGTCACGTCACAATTACCAGCGTAAGCCAAGCCTGGTCACGTCACAATTACCAGCGTAAGCCAAGCCTGGCCACGTCACAATTACCAGCGTAAGCCAAGCCTGGTCACGTCACAATTTCTTTGAGAGAATTCCGAAAGTACCGTTGATTAGCAATATTTGCGCCACCTTCAGCCAGTCGCCGAGCAACAGCGGCGGGGTGCGAAGAGGCTCAGTGGCCGAGCGACAGCGGCGGGATGCAGGGAGGCTCAGTGGTCGAGCGACAACGGCGGGGTGCGAGGAGGCTCAGCGGCCGAGCGACAGCGGCGGGGTGCGAAGAGGCTCAGTGGCCGAGCGACAACGGCGGGGTGCGAGAACGGCGGGGTGCGAGGAGGCTCAGTGGCCGAGCGACAGCGGCGGGGTGCGAAGAGGCTCAGTGGCCGAGCGGCAACGGCGGGTGCGAAGAGGCTGTTGGGCGTCGGTGTTGTCATTCCTGCGGCCACGTGACCATTTCATTGCTCTTTTCCATGCCATCTGCTACAAAATAATCCCAAACATAAGTGATATTCGAACAGCAGAACTGAAATGTTTAAGTCGCCAAAGAAATTGAAGCTGTGCCACCTTTTTGGTGCAGCGGAAGTGCCCTCACCACGTACAGTTACTTTTTACGCGCTGACTAACACTGACAGCCAGCTAACTGTGACACGCTAATTTGTTTGGCGTTTCACCACTATGTGGCCAGCGCTGAGGAAGGCTAGGTCTGTTTCAGCTGAAACAGGACAGCTCAGTTTGAAATGTTTCTTTCCTTGCTTCCTCCAACAAGCGTTTGTTCTAATTTATATGCCCCTGGATAGAAGACCTTTAAACTAAAGCCAAGTATGTGCCGGCCCTTCTGCTGTGCCGGGGACGAGAAAGCCTGCTCTCCACGCTGGTTGTACTTGCTGTTGCAGCACTGATGTCGCCGAAGCATCGTTCGTCTGTGTGTGTGCGGTTGTGGAAGGGGATTGCGGTTGCGGATGCGGTTGTACGGTATCAAAAAAATCGTTTCAGAGGAGGGGTAAAACGGACTCCTTCATCCTGACGACACGCTTCTTACAGTCACATTGACCAAAACACTACCTCTGGGTTCGGACCTCACGATTTGTTCTAAAAGCCGGCATTTTTGGGTTCCCTTTGTGCGGTGAGTATGCCGATCATGCCCCTTGGACTTACGCTGGGCTTGGGTGCCCCTGAACTGTTGCTTGACTGAGCTTCTGAATGGGCTTGACTGCGACTGGATTGCATTATGAGGAATAATCCTTTAGATCTTTCATTCATGAATGTTGCCCTCCGATGATGCTTCTCTAAGTGATGAGCGGTAACTATGTCAAAACGTTACAACTTGTGGTCCAATGAATTAAGTGTTTCACGTTGACACCTGTGGCACGCTCTCATCATTCGTGCGGAATCTTCATTTCATGTAGGACACTGCTAATAATGTCTCCAACTTTTTGCTTTAACATGGGCGCCAGGGGAGGCGATTAGGCGACGTGATGGTACCCCCGATGTTGGCACTGTAGTGTAACGGCAAAACAAAAAGAAGAATAGAAAACGCCGAATGTTTGGAAATTGTGGGGTACAATCTTGTTTGCATAGCGACTGAAATTTGCAAACAGCTTTGAAATTTTTGGAACTAAGAACTGAAAAAGAAAGGTTAAAATAGGACTTTTTGCCTTTAACAGCGTTAAAAAGGGCTACATGGCTAGCGTTTCTTTGACGAGGTCGTGTTGCTTACTCTTTTGAGTAAATATTGTAAGTATGGCCAGATCTGGGGAAATCCCAGACTCGATCCTTGGCGTCATGCTGCGCTCGGTGGTACATCCAGCCAGTCACCGACCACCAGTCTGGCGGCGTCGGAGGGCGGCCAGACTGGTGGCCGCTGGCGGTGCTGCTCCTGAGCACGTGACAGTGTTTTGTCCATGTGGTCTGGCATGGAGTGGTCAAAGGGACAAAACCCACTCAAATTCAGAGCCTAGGACCTTTTTTACCTCCATGATGCTAAATTTAAGTGTCTCAATATGCGCCGCAACTAGGCTATCCCAGTCTCAAAGCCCATCCAAAGGTGGAGCATTTTCTGTGATAAAAGGCTTTACAACTCATAACTTTAGCTGTGGATCACGCTGAATCACCAAGGATTTCATGCTGCCTTCAGCAATATTTATGTCGGCAAACTTGTATCAAACTTTGCCAGAAAACGGAGTTACCTGCGGAACCATCCTCTTCATTCATCGAGAAGAAAAGGATGATATCAACGACAGTGACCACAAAGACGAGCAAGCCTCCAAGCAGTCCGCGATTGGCTCTGCTGCAGTCGACTTGAAGCTTTGCCTGAAAAAGAAAGCATCCAAAAAGCACCATCACTCATCCACACTGACATTCTGCTAATGACAAAAATCCCATCCTGCTAAATGCATTACGCAGCATAAACGAGAAGCGCATAAATCAGTTTGAATTGTGGCGTCACTTTCAGAAGAGGCCTTGTCAGCGTCTCACCTGAGTAAAAAACAGCTTTGATAATTTTTCCACGTTTGGCAATTTTCGAACGCTCCAATGGTAATATACCACGCCTGCTCAATTCTAGGCGTGATTCTGACCGCAGTTTGAACCCAATTCCGAGTCCCAGTCCCGGTGTTTTGGGTCTGAAACAGAGTCTGCGCCCTGCGTTCGCACAATACGTGAATCCAAACACGATCCTATTGTCCCCATCGCTGCTGACTAACGGACACACTGCAAACTGAATCCGGCTCAGAGCCTGAGTGCGTGCTCTAGTCCTAAAACATTTGTTCCGTGGTTCATACGTTTCGTGCGTGATTACGCAGAACAACGGCATTTCCATATCCAACGGCATGCCCGATTGTCGGGGATGATCTAATGTCAGCTGATGATCGTCAAGGACAATAATCAAAGCACGGTATAGGCCAAATCTAACCTTAGGTGTCCGAACAGGGGAAGAGCACACTGGCTCCGCCGCCCTCGCGAAAGAGGGACATAAGCCCCATGGCAATGCCCGAAAAAGCCTTTCAAAACATGAGAATCGTCAACATTGGACGGATTTCCCCTGCCCACTTCCTCTGGCGTTTCTAAGCCTTCGTATCTACACCAGCCTGATCCTAAAACGCGCAGAGGCGGCTGCCCGTCTTTCAACAACACGTCAAGCGGGGGTCACAATGAAGTGTTGAGGGAACAGGCGTCGGCAGCCGGCTTCCATGCCTGGGTATCGTTCGAAAATCCCGACCCGATGCTTCCGCGCTCAGCCGTGATTGCTCGTTAAACGCGGCCATAATTTCACGCTGATAATCTTGACGTGACTTATGCCATCATAGACAACTGAAACAAAATTCCAAAAGATACGTCCGTACAACCGCAGATATTTCGCGGATGCCAAATGTAAGTGCAAAGTAGCGGCTCGTCACCAGTTTTGTTTTGATTGGTGAAGAGCGGTCTCACGCTCTTGAGTGAGACTTACGTGTGGTTACATATCACTATATTGAACCAATAGGCTGCGACAGCCGCACCAGATGTGTGGATGTGTTCGATAGCCCTGGCAAGTCAAACTTCCTGCACTCGTTTGACATATTTCTAAAACGTGCCGCAGTTTCTTTCCTACGCACAAATTTGCCCGTACTTTCATAAGATGTCAAGCGGGATACATTAGGCCGGCGGCCAGGCTTAAGATGTGGGTGTTGTTCGAAAGCCTTTGAGCCGATGTGATCAAATGCGCATGCCCTCTATCTGTGCCTGAACTAAAAATAGTTTAAAACGCTGCCACAATTTCATACCTACGCCCAAAGCGTTTTCCCCGCTTTCAATAAGATGCCGTGCGGCGGCCAGATCATGGCGCTGAACAAATGGGCGCTGGTGGTCGGGCCCAGCATCTCGGTGTCGTTCGATATCCCAGACCAGTAGTATCAACCGCGCATTGTCCGCTACCTCGACCATGCTGTTTCACGCCGCTGTGGTGCCGTCTCTCCGGGTAGAGCGGCGGTCCGCCGTCCAAGCAGACGCCGAGCGAGAGCGGGGGGCCAGAGCACTTAAGAAACGGGCCACGGCAGCCCGGCACAGTGTTGGGATGTCTTCCGAAAGCCCTGCACAAGTTCTATGAAACACGTGCAATTGCGCTCTACGCGCGCGGTTCAATCAGTTTTAAAACTCTTCTGTACTTTCTTCTCTGTGCGCAGACCAACCACCCGCCGTTTCGATGAGACAAACCAACGTGCTAAACACATGGGCGCCAGAGGCCAAGCGGGCTGTTTAGGTGCTATGCCATAGCTCGCAGCCGGTGGTTTCAAATGTGTTTCTTCCCACTGTCCACATTTGATTATTTATATTTCACTGCATATAAGATAGAAGTCTTCAGATAGAAAACAGGATGTACTCACCTGGTTGGTAGCTCCCTCCACATGGGCCATGTCTCCCGTCAGGTACTGACCGATCTTGGTGTTGCCGATGTTCTGCCAGATGATAAACCACACGCCAACTGTGGGAGCGTGGCTCTCATTCTGACACGGCTCGATCACTATGGAATCCGATGGCCGACAGGGACGTGAAGAACCATTGGCATTCATGGTGTAGCAAACACACTCATAGTTGGGATGGACTACACGGAAGCATATTGTTACAGCGTTCTGGAGATCAACAAAGACATTGCTTACTTCACGCTCAGTTCCTACTAAATTTTCCTTTTTGTTGCAGTGATCTGCGGCCTCAGAAGCAAGGTGCGCTTTGTGTACGGAGTCGACACAAAACACGTCAGTTTAAATGAGGCAGTACTAATAGCCTTATTCCTCACAGAAAATGTATTCATCCTTCGCTGATATTTGTTTCGATAAATGCATGTAGCGAATTGTCAATACATCCACCTCTCCATTCTCCTGGTCATTGTACCAGGAACAAGGCTATCAGTGACTAAAAACGATATACTGTCTTATTTATGTGCATAGCATTCTTCACAAATGCATTTAACAACTTAAGTAAAATACACCAGGTGTATTATCAATAACAGCAGGTCTTCTGGGAGGCAGTAATACATGCCGAGGATCGCCGTAGGCCTTTGCAACAGATACCTGTCAGTAAATGCAGTGCGCCTTGCACGGGCAACATGCTTCTCTGTGGTCGCGTGCGGAGTGACAACTATATATGTACCACTGTTGAAAGAGACCTAAACTTACCAATCAGAATGTTGAATTCGATGGTGAGTGGGTAGAGGTAGCCGGACAGGCTGGTGACCGTCTCCGATATGCTGTCGTTGAACGCGCACTTCTGGTACGCTAACTGCGTATCCTCCAGCGCGATCGTCACGGTACACTCTGCAGGGTCAGAGAGGTTCTGATCAGCCCCCGCACGTGACCCGCGCTCTCTCTGACTCACGTGACCTGCGCTCTCTGACTCACGTGACCTGCGCTCTCTGGCCCACCTGACCTGCGCTCTCTGACTCGCGTGACCTGCGCTCTCCGACTCGCGTGACCTGCGCTCTCTGACTCACGTGACCTGCGCTCTCTGGCCCACCTGACCTGCGCTCTCTGACTCGCGTGACCTGCGCTCTCTGACTCACGTGACCTGCGCTCTCTGGCCCACCTGACCTGCGCTCTCTGACTCGCGTGACCTGCGCTCTCCAGCCGATGGACAGAAAAACATGTGGGCAGATAGTGGCGTGGGACTGCCGCACAGAACATCCGGAAACAGTACGCTTGCGTCGCGGCGGGGCGGTGCATGTAAGTCCAGCAGCGGGATGGTCTGAAGCGTTTATCGAGGTGCACAAGACGCATGCTAACGAATATGTCAGTGCTACATATGTAAAGTTGCACAGGCGACTAAACAAATGCATTATCGCGTCGTGGAGGCACCAAACGGCTGCAATCCTTTATTTTCGTCCGCTGCACACCAATGTGTCAGCTGCTATTCGCTGTTCATGCTGTGACCCATTCCACTCACGATGCGGTAGGGGACACGACAGACTCACAAACCGCTCTAAGCAGGCATCATTGTTCTGGGCTGAGACCGCTGGCAGGCGGTCCGGGTGACGGGTAGCCTGCTGTCTGAGTTGGCAGCGGTGATGGTACCGTCTTCTCCACCGGCAGTCTATCTCGCTTCCCAAGTCTTATTTCTCAGTCTCATCAGGCGCTGGTCTTGTTTTCTTCCGCGCTTTACGACCCACTGAGCACCGGCATTAAATCAAGCTATATGAGACTACCGCCGACCAAATTTAATTCTACTCAAGACGACATGCCGAAAGATTTGCTTTCGGCGCCAAATTTGCATGTTAGTCTCGTCAGCGAGCAAATGACTATTGCTGTTTCCAACACCAGATGCTGTGTGTAACAGCCTACAGCCGTGTGGCTCGCGCTGTCTGATCTTCTGGACTCTGTTTAGCTTATCTTAAGGGTTTAGGCAAAATGAGTGGGGACATTGCTACCAGCAGGATGCAGGGGAGCCCTCAGGACAACGCAAGAATTCGATCACAGTCGACTCCACAACCGTCCAGGCCCCGCGCCTCTGGGAAAGTAAGGGTACAGGGCTCAATTCCCCGCGGTGCCCGCCCTTCCTGACAGGTTGGAAGGCAGGGCCACGTCAAATAGTAGTCAGCGGCTGAGTGCGTCGTAAAGCCATCATGGCGCCATCGGTCGGTCACCGCGGCGGGTCATTGTGCGTGGTGCCATTCATCACGCACACTAAATCCGTCAGAGCTACCTCTCACCGGCCACAAAAACGAATGCTAAGCAATCCAAATGCCAGGGTGATGGCGCGACAGGTGCCCCACGTGCTCCCACGTCCAGATACCTGTACAGTTGGTGCTGTTGAAGTGGTGGTCGCCTGAATGTTCTGCGTTGTGCTCGGTGACGGCGTCCACGGTCTCCTTCACTATGCTCCAGATCCACATGTTCAGACTGCTGGCGATGCAGTGCATGAACCCGAACCGGGCTGACGTCTGCTGGTGGTTGATCACGATCTAAAACAACCAATCGAGCGACTGCTAGTTCGCTAATTGACCGAGGCAAGGCATCCGGGAGTGTACAATTTCAAGACTTGGGGTCAGGGGACCGGTAGCGTAGTGGTCAAACTGAGCGTCTGGGAAACCGGAGGTGCTGGGTTCGATTCTTGTGGGACCCGCCCTTCTGTCGGTGTGAGAGCCGGGCACAGCCATATTGGCTCCGCAGCCGAGTGCGTCTTAAATATGCCCCCTATGCCACAAAAATAGTATATGCAGCCTACACATCGAATCTTGTTAGTTGAATGAATTTGGCTCCTGTTGTGTAACAACGAGTTCATGTAGCTGCACAGTGCATGAGCATATATGTACTATAAATTGTGCCGTCTGGTAAGCTATACCTTCGACAAGGGGCCAGATTGCGTGCGTATAAGCTACATGTGATGCGTATCACAGCCCTAGACCAAATCCACTGTAGTGGTTTTCACTGGATGGAACAGTCACAGAGTAAATGTCGAACGAATGTAGTGACAACTGAGGAGATGTCAAGGAAAATGAGGAACTACTATCAAATTCAATATACTTGGGCTTAACAGAATCAACCTTCAAATATTATTTTTTCGGCCACGGTGCTATGCGGACTCTTGTGGACCTTCCGTGAGCTATTTCCATAATCCGAACCTACCCGATGGGCTATTTACTACCCATCTGATAAATGCTCTTGGCAATAGCCGGACGTTTGTCCATCGTGTATCTGGCATCCAGTGCACCGTGGCATTCCATCAAAATGCGAACGCTTGCTCCAGGAGCTGACGCCACGTCGCGGGACCGCCAGCTGACGACCTGCAAACACGGTGCTTCCCTGCGAATCACTTCCAGGGGTTTGGATGATCGTTGTAAGAGCCGTCTATGCTCTCGGTTAGGCGAGTCGCATGAATTTAGCATGACGGGGTACATGAGGAAAACAGGACTTGTTTTGTGAGCTGAATGTTCTGCGGTGACCACCGTTTACCGTTCCGGTAACCCCAGCCATTTGCAGACCTAAATTAAAGTCATTCAGACTTAAATGCGGTCGAGGGAAAATAAACTATGTCCTCGGGCAGTCAGTGTCATTTGGGATTGCCATGAGCCTCTTTACGCCCGAATAGTCTTGTTTCGGGTCATTTAATTGAAACGTAACGCCGTTTGGCACCATTAAATGGCCCGTAACGGCGAAAGGCTTTCTACTTCGGAAAAGGCCCCAACCCGTGCCTTACATTTCATGTCCTTACACCATTTACAGAGCATTTGCATCCCACAGTGATCTGAAGCATCTACATGCTATGGGGCTCCAATGAATGATCTACAACATATGCCTTTACAAGATTTGTCATTTAATGGTTTCTCAATTTCAACACATCACACAGAGTAGCAAGTTTAAAAGGCTTTTAACCCCGGAAAATGGTCAGTGGCCAGTAAACACGCGGAGAATCGCGACGGTTAAAAACTCAATAGACGATCAGCGCGCTTAGGAGACCACCTTCATTTCGCAAGAGTTGAAATTTGATCTTCTCGTGACGAATGTAAATATCTAACTTATACGACTGACATTGCGCTTGTTTAGGGGCGCTTGATGTCTTCAGTCCCCGGTCGATAGAAGGGTCGATTATATGCTGCGGGCTCCTGAGGCGGTCAAAAGATCGAGAGAGATATTGATGGGTCTAGAGAGGACCAGGGCCTTCGAGCCGTCAGGGACCTTACCCGACCAAGCGAGTCCTTTCGTGTTAAGGGATCCAAATATTGACAGGGGCCCAAAAACAAGCAAAAGTAAGGGATCTCAAAAAAGGCTAAACACGAAGACGATTAGCATAGCTTTCGGTACATCGCGTCTACAGTGCCCGTAAACTGAGTCGTTAATTTTTGGAGGGAAAGACTGCGATATGGCTCACTCACCGCTAGCACCAAACTGTGATTCCCTGGTGATTCCTTTACCCATGGAAAAAAATAGTTGATTGACAGTATCAAACGTTTATTAATTGGGTTAGTCACCGAAAGTGGTGTGGCTTTGCTACACCAGCTTAAAAACTCGTGTGGCCACTAACTCTACTGCAAGGTCACGTTGTCTGCCCACGCTTGCAAAACCGCTTTAAACTGAAACAGGCAACGCAATATTAAACCAATACTTAAACAACGTTTAATTTGATCAATGCTGGAAAAACCATTATTGTTCCGGTTACTACATTTGTATGAGTATTTGTTATGCATTTATGCCACTTCGACATGACCGCCGATATCAAGTGCGGTATTGCTCATTGTAGGCCATTTCCCTGAAATGAAAAACAAAACAAAACAATGTGCTTAACACAATAGCCAAACGCTTAGAACTTGTCACTTATGCAAAATAGCGATTACAAGCCTCAAATGAATGGTTCTGACATAGTTTACACTATACGAACCATAACCAACGTCTAGGTCGACTAGTTCTATCAGGCAATACGTGTGCCTGCAACAGTCTTGGCTTCTCGAGAGAGGTGACCGTGCCCCGCAGCTTCCAACAATTGCACACTCTAGGGCGCTGGAGACGAGTCAACTGCCATTCCCGTGGTCGTGTAGACCAGCTTACTCACGTCCCTCTAGGTGAACTCACGTTGGAGTATTTGAAGGTGACGTACAGCTGGAAGAAGGAGAACACGGGCTGAACGGAGTAGAGCAGCAGCGTTGGAATGTCCATGCACTCGTCCCCGTGTTCCACCATGTTGTTAATGTGACGAATCAGCATCAGCAGCAGATGCACCAAGTGCCCGAAGCAGAAAACTGCAAGCAGGTTAGCGTGCCTTAATGATTCGGAGAATTAGGAGAGAAAGGTAACTGCCTGGAATCTTGCGGCCCGAGTGAAGGGATTAAACATGGGGATCCTGTTGCTCGGACTGGCTTTCAAACCCGCAGGACTCCAATGTCCCTGTGCGCAGACGCCAGGGACATTGGAGTCCGAGGACGCCAACACGAGGAGCCCAACATGGCAACTCACGAGCCACGGCCTCCCACACTGGACCCCGAAATCGGTGCAGGCTCGGGCGTTTGCCCTTTTACAGGGGGATGCTGACGATGTGACGAGCGATTGATTGGTAGCGGAACGAGCGCTGCGGAGCGACTGACGTAACAGATTACAGCGGGATGCTGTTGGTGTGATGGAGCGATTGATTGGTAGCGGAACGAGCGCTGCGGAGCGACTGACGTAACAGATTACAGCGGGATGCTGTTGGTGTGATAGAGCGATTGATTGGTAGCGGAACGAGCGCTGCGGAGCGACTGGCGCAACAGATTACAGGGCGATGCTGTTGGTGTGATAGAGCGATTGATTGGTAGCGGAACGAGCGCTGCGGAGCGACTGACGTAACAGATTACAGCGGGATGCTGTTGGTGTGATAGAGCGATTGATTGGTGGCGGAACGAGCGCTGCGGAGCGACTGGCGCAACAGATTACAGGGCGATGCTGTTGGTGTGATAGAGCGATTGACTGGTAGCGGAACGAGCGCTGCGGAGCGACTGGCGCAACAGATTACAGGGCGATGCTGTTGGTGTGATAGAGCGATTGATTGGTAGCGGAACGAGCGCTGCGGAGCGACTGACGTACAGATTACAGGGGGATGCTGACGAGTGACGAGCGATTGACTGGTAGCGGAACGAGCGCTGGCGGAGCGACTAACGTAACAGATTACAGCGGGATGCTGTTGGTGTGATAGAGCGATTGATTGGTAGCGGAACGAGCGCTGCGGAGCGACTGGCGCAACAGATTACAGGGCGATGCTGTTGGGTGATAGAGCGATTGACTGGTAGCGGAACGAGCGCTGCGGAGCGACTGGCGCAACAGATTACCGGCGATGCTGTTGGTGTGATAGAGCGATTGATTGGTGGCGGAACGAGCGCTGCGGAGCGACTGGCGCAACAGATTACAGGGCGATGCTGTTGGTGTGATAGAGCGATTGACTGGTAGCGGAACGAGCGCTGCGGAGCGACTGGCGCAACAGATTACAGGGCGATGCTGTTGGTGTGATAGAGCGATTGATTGGTAGCGGAACGAGCGCTGCGGAGCGACTGACGTAACAGACGGTAGAAAGAAACGGATCACCGACTGTTGCTAGCTTAGAATGAAATGGAATGCAGTCGTGCAATGTCACGTGACGTGCTGGTGACGTGACCGGTATCTACCTTAAATATGCGCACTTACCGTAAATTATTCTATCACAACTGAAAACTGCGAAGTACTGCGCAATGATCCATTTGGTAGGCTAAAATTACGGGCTGTTACCAGGCTCGCAGCCGGCTGCTTTTTATGAATGTCATTCGTAAACTTTAACAGACATTTAACAGACATTCTAGTTGTGCTTGACGATGGTCAGAGAAGGCCATTGACCTAAAATGACGCCTATCAACCTTTGTTTATCTGAACATTGCCCCTAACGTATATCTTGAAGCTTGTCAAAAGTTAGCGTATGTTGTTAAGTGCATTTGCGGGTAACATTACGCGTATGGATAAGACAGTATTAATAGCCTGACTCCCGGTAGAACAAACATAGAATAGTGAAATAGATGTGGTATCTAAGCATTGCGCCTTTATCGAAAGTGACATTATTCTACTAAGTCTAAGAGAAATCAGGGGCATTAATGCTATCTTTTCTTATTGAAAGTTAAAAAATCAAAACCATTTTATGCGTTTTTGGCCCATGTTACCTGAAGGCCAAATAGGGTCACTGATCTGAATTAAGCACCGGTGACCTTTTACTCAGGAGACCTTCATAATTAAAAGTGAATACATGAAGACATCTGATGGCATTTCGGACACCGATGTGGTGTTTGATATTTTTTACCTTTCGAAACAAAGTTCACGACCTAGGGAACTCAATATTTGGTGCTAGAGAGATCGCATACTGATACCATGATAATAAGTTTTTTCTGGTCCTTTACAGCTTATTCAAAGCACAGGACGGTCAATTTCACCTTCCCCACCCGAGCATAAACACTTAACCGGCGAACCGGACGTGTGTTACATATCTATAAACCATTGCACAGCTAATTTCATGGGCAAACCCAATGAAAAACTGATGCCAAAAGACAACAGGAAATGCGCTGTTATAGCCCTACAGTTGTGGATATATCGTGATATGGGCCTGGTTTAGTTCAGATCTCCGGCCCCACATGACCTGCTCGACCGACTGGCGGCCGACGGCTATCGGTCGGCCGACCAACTCACACGAGGCGCCAATCTTGAGGTAGAAACTGCCCGAGTGGCGGCCAACGCTGAAACTGTACTGGCACTTGATCATCTCCGAGCTGGCCTGCTTGAACGGCATCCTCACCCGGTACTCGCCCTCCACCTCGGTCGGCTCCAGAATCAGCTGACGCTCCAGCGCGCCTGCGGCATCGCCAGAGCCTAGGTCGCCAAACCCAACGCAAATCCACCCGTAGCTAAACAACAATACTCCATGGATGCTTATATGCTCCTAAATAAAGCTAAGTCACATACATGTGGACCCAAAAATTAGGCCGAATGCCTTAACTTATGGAGCATAGCGAAAATGCATAAATATAAAAGGCGTTTTCGCATTTTTGCAAGCTAAATGCGTTTCTTATGCTGCTCCATAGCATGAAACAATCGCACAAATTATTCGCGAAAAGTGCGTTTTTTAGGAAAACGCATTGCAATTATATTTATTTGGCTTTTAAAACAGTCCAAGGTTCTCAGAACTTTAACTCGGTGAAACTTATCATTTTATGGCAATACCATGTGAATGACATCCAGAGGAGTGATAAGCCATAGCGTCATTTACCTTATCAGTCATAGTCGAGTCATTTACATCAGGTACAAGGCGTTTGATGTAGAATTTGGGCGCACGTAGATAGAGGGAGAGAGAGAGAGAGAGAGAGAGAGAGAGAGAGAGAGAGAGAGAGAGAGAGAGAGAGAAGAGAGAGAGAGAGAGAGAGAGAGAGAGAGAGAGAGAGAGAGAGAGAGAGAGAGAGAGAGAGAGAGAGAGAGAGAGAGAGAGAGAGAGAGAGAGGAGAGAGAGAGAGAGAGAGAGAGAGAGAGAGAGAGAGAGAGAGAGAGGAGAGAGAAGAGAGAGAGAGAGAAGAGGAGAGAGAGGCGAAGTGGGGGTAGGTGAGGTGATGGTGAGGGTGATGACGAGAATGATTGTGAACATGAGAGAAAGGGTAGGGGTGAGGACAAGGATGAAGGTGAAAGCCAGGGTGGGGATGAGCATGAGGATGAGGATAAGGACGAGCATGGGGTGGTGAGGATGAGGGTAAGGGTGAGAGCAAGCATGTTAGCGAGTTGGTAGGCGAGCAAACGTCTTAGTAATTGAGTGAGTAGGCGAGGAAGCGAGCGAGCGAATGCGTGAGCGAATGAGTGAGTGAATGAAGGAGTGAGGGAGGAACAGTGGGTGTCAGGGAGTGGCAGGCTGAGTGATGGGACAGGAAACGCGAGATGTGGTGTTGTAAACTGACCTAGCCCCTCCTGCGTGGATTTGGCCACCTTCGCCAGCCGAGACATGTACATTTTGACGTGGACGTGGAGGACAATCAGCCACACCAGACCGATCACTGACTGGGCACATGTATATATCTGGAAACATTGATTGCTGTTTATGTATGCATGGCCACAGACGTCGTCGCAATAATTGCAGGTGCTATCCGTCCGCAGCATAAAAATGAGAGGTACGATCCACTGGCAACATAAAAACCACAGCGTGGTGAAGAACAATATCCAGTGGCATTCCCAATATGGAGAACAATCAAGTCATCAAGCAAGTAACACCAACTAATCAAGAAATAAGAACGACAACCAAACAATCTAGCCCAGGGCGCTGCACTGCAACGTAAGCGGTATATCGGCGGAGTACAGAGATGATGCAGTTCGCTCCATGCGTGCTGACAGTGCACACCTTATAGCGTGACATGACGTCTATGCAGCCAATTGACATTACCAAAGAGCGCGGTGTCTGTTCGAATCTTATTGACACGCAACCGTATGAGGACTGCAGAAAACGTCGAACGACAAAAGACGTCTGCAGCGTGCTCGGTCCCACCTCAGCGATTCCCAGGTCCGGCGCGGCGATGTCAGCGACGAACGCCATCAGGCCGATCATCACCAGAAATGTGGCGTACATCGCGCTGCCCACGATCGCCAGGTTCTCCCTGATGGCGGCCGGCAGAATGTGCCTATGCTAGGCTGGCGACTGTGTAAACCAGGCCACGCAGCATCCGCCGCGCGCGACACCGCGCGAGGCATCGATACATGTAGCGCGTCATGTGAACATGCCATGATGCACGAACCCTTGGCAACAATGCACCGTATGTACCATCGGGAAACGAAGAATGAGCAAAGTTTGCTAATACGCGCCGTTGTAATGCTCTGTAACGCGCTGCTGCTAAGGCGGAACAGTTGCTTACACGCCAACATTAGTCCGCGTTATGCTGTGCATCGCAAACACGCCTTAACTCCAAAAACGCCTCCTTCTCACTTGTCTTCCACTCGATCGTGGCAGCATCCAGTCTGCCTGTCCTCCCCTCCCAGCAGCCCCCCTGCTTCTCTTTAACGCCTACTTCTTTACTCCTCTCACTTCCCATTCCGTTCTGCTACCCTCCACCACCTCTCTCCGTTTCGTTCTGGCAGCGTCCCTCCCGCCTCCCACCTCGCCTTGCCGTCATCCCCCTTCGCTCCGTCTCCCCACTCCATACGTCACTGAGCGGGGGGGGGGGGGGATTCCTTCCACACGCGCTCCTCTCCGTACTTCCCTTCTTTCGAGGGATAGCGATCGACTTGTGGATATCATAACATGACAAGTGTGACAGCGGCCGCGTAAGAACTTTGGTACTTTATCCATTTTTCCACCGACAAGAGACCGATTCAGGAGCTTTGAAAAGTCACGCATTCTCGACCTCCTCTGCCCATGGGTCGCATCTTCCGCCGCCCGGCCCCTTGCCACCTCGTCCCGAGCGTAGGCCCGTCCGCCGTCGCGTCCCACCTGAACCGACTGTTCTTGAAGTGCTGGCTGGTGGCGGGTGGCAGCTGCGGGCCGCACAGATCCTGTATGCTGGCGTTGGAGCGCGAGGCGGAGGGGCCGCTCCAGGAGGAGGCCGGCCCGAGCGGGTGTGAGAGCACCGAGTCTGCGGACGGACGGGCCGCGCGACCGCGTGTCAGCTGGCGCTCAGGCGAACTCGCCGCAGGCACTGGCGAGGCACGCAGGTACCGTCTGACCTGGCTGGGACAGAGGCTGTGTGACGATCCAGAACATTGCCTTATCGCCATACGTTAGATGCGAAATGTGTCGCTGAATGGCACGCTAGTTGCACCCTGGCAAGTGGAAGCATCTGCGAGCTTCCACCAGGTGTCTGAGTTTTGGAGTCAGGTGGCACACAGGAGCCCCATGGTCTAGTGCCAAACGGTGACGTATTTTGTGAGGAGGGTCAGGGTTCGGAACCCTGCTGCTCCATGACCTTTGACAATGGCTAGACCGCTGTAACCACTCGCATTGCACGGGAGCGTTCGCTGGGGATTGTGGCTCGCTTTTTTGAGAATTAACACAGATACAAAGCTCATGCTCTCTCTAAGCCCATCACCTCATACAAAGTGGTATGCATTTGTCCACAGTGGGAAAGAATGACTGATGCCAAAATGGTTGTTAAGAGCTAACAAATTCGCAGCGAGAGAAATAAAAAAAGTGAACAGTTGTAAACAATACAGCACTGTGTTTTGTCTTCGGTCGTTACGCCGCGGACTGAAATGTCGCCGTAATGAAGCTACCATGCCTCGTATTGGTCTCTCTCTCTCTCATTCTGTGGCCAAAGGCTGAGGCAACGGATTCACAAAACTTTCAAAGAGTGAATTGATAATTTTGGCCATACAAGTCAATAGATGGGGCGGTAGAGCATCATGCAGTTTTATTTTGCTTAACTAAGAACAGCTTTTCTTAAAGTATATATCTATGTATATATAGATATATTTTAACAAACATATATATATATTATATATATATATATATATATATATATATATATATATGAAGCATGATTATATGGAGGTATATTACCTATTAGGAGATTGAGTGTAAGAAGAAGTTGCGAAAAATGTTTGCTCTTTCTACAACCAACACAAGACTGGAGTTCCGAAAGCTGCTTTTGAACGTCAGCCCATCACGACCAAGCGAAATACTGCCGCGTTTTTTCCTTGCCTTCGCACGTAACGCTATGGTTCGAAACACTGTCGCAGTGAAGTCAACGTTACTGTGCATTAGCTCGTCTCCGATGTGACGAATACCGAAACCAGACCTGAGCGTGAAATAACGGCGTAAGGAGGGAGCTGCTGATAAATACAATGGCCGCTGATGCATCAGGTGAGGACGCTCCAACCTTCAATGCAGCTAACTCAAAGATGGGTCGTCGGTGGGTCAAATCATTCCATGGGACTGAGTCTCAGAAAAAGTGTCAAACAAGTGTATATCTCTAGAACAACGAGAGAACTATGACCCCACACAGCAGCTTTTGGGATCGGCAGATCCCGAACCCGTGGAATGTTTCGTATTGTACTCGTCTTCGGTTGCATTACCACGACCTGAGATGCTACCACAATGAAAACACTATGATATGTATCTGTACCTTGCGTACCCTCTTATCTCTGGTAGGAACGTCTTTTCGCCTTGACCTGACCCCCTGCTGACGCAAAACGGCACACACATTGCAGCGTGAAGTGAGAGCTCCGTCATATATTATCAATAAACGAGGAGAGCGCGCCACAATTTGCAGCAAATGTGATTAAAAATATATTTTTTGGTAAGCCCTACTCTTTCCAGAAATACTCATTGAAGAGAGTAAAAAGGCTTTTCAGCCGGCTTGCCATTTTTAGATCCAACTAAAAATAATTCGGCGTGTATTCGGTTTCCAAGCTATTTGGTGGGCCCAACGCTCTCAAGTCAGTGTTCTCCTGGGCCTTTCCACCTTTGGCTGGCGCCTGGTGAGCTGGCCCTGTCCTGGGTCGTCGGTTCCCCTCGCCCCGGGAGTCCCCGCCGCATGCCCAATAGCGATC